AGGTTTCAAAAACTGGTGTACGGTTGCTCAATGCAGAGACCATCCTGAGACTGTTTATTTTTAAGTATCAATTTCACGTATTGTGCATTCGGTGGATTTGCCTCTTGGCTTTAGCTTCTCTTCACATCATGACTGATGGGAAATGTTAGTCAATTAATTAGTAAGAGACATGTTGCACTCAATTAATTAGTGTGAGAAATATTACACTTAATTAATTAGTATGAGATATGTTACACTTAATTAATTAGCAAGAGAAATATTACACTTAATTAGTTAGTATGAGAAATGTTACAATTAATTGATTAGTAGGAGAAAGGTTACACTTAATTAGTTATTAAGAGAAATGTTCCAGCTGATAAATTCGAGAAAAAAATGTTGCATTCGAATGATTAGCGGAAAAAATTTAGGATGAAAATTTGACAAAAGAAAAAGTTATAAATTTTTAACAGTAAATGAGAAGATTTATAACTTAAATTCAAGTTATCCGTGGTCGTCTTGTTCTCGTTGTTATGACCCGAATGTCAGTAATATATTTTACTACTACTTCTAACGCTTCATATCTTACATTATTATGTTAAATAAGTTCATTTTAGAATAAAAACAAAGAAAAACATTTAAAAGTAATGAAAAAAGATGCATTGTAATTTGTTTTGTAGGTAGAAGTGCACAACAAAATTTATGTTTCATAGGTACGGACAATTAATAAAAAGTTTTTATATTTTTTTCGTTAATATTCGAGAATATTCGTGTCCCTGAGACATTCACTGCTTGTGACTGCATAGCATTCACTTACAAATTAATAAATTTTATTTTTTTATACAATTGATTTCGTTTTTCCTTTCTTTAATACATTTTCCAGACAAACTGAAAAGCAAAACTGAAAAATGTAACTAATTTTAAGGCTTATTCTTTAATTAATTTATCCGGTACAATCTTCTTCTGCTATTCTGATCGAATGATTTATAACTTCCAATCCCCAATAAATTTAAGGAGCTCAATTAATCAAATTCATTTCCACTAATTAGTGGCAGAAAACGAGCCTTGGAGTCTTTTCATTTCCATTGCGCAGCCCCTCGGATCTGAGGGAAAGCCTGCAATGATCGAGAACCGGCCCTCAGATCTGAGGGCAAACTTCCAATAATTGAGGGCCACCTTTGAGATCTGAGCGCAATCGTGCAATAATCGAGATCTACCCTCAGATCTGAGGGTAAACCTGCTATAATCTAAATCCACCCTCAGATGCAAGGGCAACCGTGCTATAATCGAGAGCCACCGCACAAGTAAGAGAGCAAGCGTGCAATGGTTGAGAAACGCCCCTCAGATCTAAGGGCAAACTTTCAATAATCGAGGGCCACCTCTGAGATCTGAGGCATGCTATAATCAAGGGCTGCCCCTCAGATCTGAGGGAAAATCTGCAATAATAGAGGTCTGCCCCTCAGATCTGAGGGAAAATCTGCAATAATCGAGAGCCACCCTCAGATCCGAGGGCAAGCTTTTAATAATCAAGGTCACCTCACGGATTTGAGGGCTCACATGCAATAATCGATGGCTCGCCATTCATTTCATTTAATCCCGCAAAATGTCGGCATCAAGCGCTGTCATGCCGCGGCATTCCCTCCACTTATTCCCTGCCAGTCATTTTCTCGATCAATATCGCTGAGTTTATTTCAAGGTTTCCTGTCCAGCTTTGCCACGCATTTCGATCAATCTCTGTTTCTGTCGAATTTATTAGTTTATGTTATTCTTTCCGATTTATTTCGGCAGGCATTTATAGCAAACAACGTCTTTGTTAACATTTTTTTAAAGTTATGTTAAAATATTCTGTTCAATTTTTTGCGAGCATTTCTGGCAATTGACTGACATAGACGATCTGTACATGTTATGACAGCAACAGTTCTACATAGACTGTATTAAAATGTCTCAAAGGACATTCGATTAAACATCTTGAGCACGAATGGTTTATGAACGTTTGGAGGCGTAATATCGCCCGCTGTTCGAGACCAAAATGAATGAGTAATGAGCCTCTGTCTTGAGTTTGAAGCTGTCGCCAGATCAAAATTATTAAACCTTTTCTCTCGATACGCCGCCTCCTGATCCGAGCAATTCCTGTTGAAAATCTTGGAAGGCGAATCCTCGGCTGCTCGAAGGTCTGCCGATGATAATTCTGCAATAAATTTGAAGTAAATCGCTAAAGCCGTCGTAAGGTTTCAGCAAATCTAGCGATGCAGTTCCAAACGACAGAGCGCGGCACTCGGCGGTATACATGGCAATGCTTTGGCCCTGCTATAGCCATTCAGTGTCACGACACTGAATATGAGGCATTCAGCCTCGTTATACTGAATTAAATGACTACTGGATTTTAGTTGCACAGTTTCGCTATGCTGTAGGAGATGAAATACTGGATATGATATCATGTCATAGCATATGATATAATATATTATGTATAATAATATATTATTATTATTATTATTAAAATATATGTTTATTATATCAAATTATGTTATGTGCATTTTTCAGGTGACGACATAGCATTTCGTAGGAGACGAACACGTCGACTAAATTCTCATTTAAATCGAAAGAAATTAGCATGTATATGGCGAAAAAATTAAAATATCATGAAGAAAATATACTAAACTGATGAGTCACAGCTATAACTAGTCTCGACTGACTAGTCCCCTGAGCTAAAGTCTTGTTTGCTTTACTTCGGACGAACGTCAAGAAGTTTACTGTCCTGATGACGCTAAATAACGTCAAGTGTCATGGACGCTTAATAAAGTCTCATATATGTGCAATCATTTCGAGTCAAGTGAATAGAGAACCTGTATAATATTCCGACTCTTTATTTTCTACGTTTTTTACTGACTGAATATACTGAACCCTTGACATATATACGCGGACCTCTACTAGGCATGATAGTCTCATGATCGCCTAGCGCGCCCGCAAACACCAGCAAATCTCCCTAAAATTTTGACTGAGCAGTTATGGTGTGTCGTTGCTGAAACTTAGGTACATGACAATAGCGAATAAGGGTTCAATTCGTATATAATTCTAGTGAGTTACTGGATGTTTCTTGAATCAGTTACCTCATAATTTTGTTAGGCATGAAATTTCGTAATCTTACTTTGGCTCAGGATACTGTTGTTTATGGTGGAAATTATGTTTGTAGATGTTAATACAATTTACTACATTTTTAGGCTTACACCGCGCATTTAGTTGCCGATTTTAATTCAAAACTATTTAGTACGATTATGGAAATTTATTAGTACTGATTCGTAATTAATAAATGTAATATTTTTAATGAGTGCACATTCTTCAATACGTCATCTTCATTCGTTGGTTAGCTAATTTTCGTTAAACTTATCCACATAATACTCGTCTTTAAATTTTAATAAATGAATGTTATTACTATCCATCTATGTGGAATGAGTTTTTTGACATTACAGGAACAACAATTAAATTCCTTCATTTTTTCCAGGCACGCACGTTTCTGGCCAGATCATCCCAACATCATCAGGACATTCCCCGCAATAACATATCTTCACATACTGAAATTTCAATAATATTTTCCAAAGTTTTCATGAAGAAACTGTAATATTTCCATTCAAAGTTAATAAAGTTACTATGCCAGTATATTTTATATAATAACTTTAGGTTTCAGTAATCTGGATCGGAGCTCAGCCGTTGAAGATAACAATTAACATATTCCGCCGACTGAAAACGAAGATGATGTTATCAGCTGATGGAATGAAAAATTTTCAGCATTTAATGGGAAACCAAAGTATTTCTTTATTCCCTTCACCAAAAAATAATTTTGCTCAACTATAGAACGATATTCCGTTCAGACTGGAAGTTGAAATCGTTTCCACAAGTTACTGCGATTTTGATGGAATAATTACTGTAACAAATTTTATTATGCACAAGGAACCTGATCATCCATTGAATTTTATGTGAACTTGTTTTTCTATCAGCCGCCGTGTGCCAAGGTCCCTGCCAATTAGCAATCAAGATATACTAAAATACTGTGTGTGAATTCCGTAGACTTTCTCGAATGAATCTCTTGCTCAACATGAAAAAAATTCACCGTTGTAGTCAGCAGCACTTTGTTCAAGCCATTCATTGAGTGGTTAAAGTGCGACCATTTTTGGCATCTCCACTAAAATATTAAATTAAAAGTAAGTCAACGTCCCAACGGAAGATTTTATTATGGGCTGCAACGTACAACACTAGTTAGCGATACTAGTAAATTTATATACATCGGGATCTCCATCGTTCAATATTGATTGTAGTGACTCATTTACATCCGAGTTACCCAATGTTTATTTGCATGGTCGCTCGTCTCACGTCCTGGTGAGCTTACTTCAAAATATGACGTTTTACTTGAAAGTGAGTTAGCATGGTAATAAATATATTTTTCAAAAATAGTGCATAAATTTCTTAAACGATTTTTTCCTAAAATCCACCAGGATTATTTTAGTGGATTTAGTTCCCCAGACGAGATTAAGTATATAACTGGAGTAATATATAACTGAATTAATGATTGCCGGTGATAATAAAGTTAAAAATACCTATAAGTTTACATAAATAACCCTGTGAATCACCTCGAGGTGTATAAATAAAATGACGAAGCACAGCTATCTTTTTAAACCGGTACTCATATAATAATCAAATTTCTTGACGCGAATATTTTGGTAACTAAAATAACATAAATTAATTCCTAAATATATTCGCTTTACTCTGCCACTTTGTAGGTAACAACATGCGGGTTCTGTACCACTGTTGCAAATTAGATTTTGGTAGATCAAGTTTCGATATTTCAGATAATCGAACGTTCACTTGACCCGACATACTATGCGTACTATGACCCGTAAATTGCGTAATTACACCAAAAGGAACGTTTATTAATTTTTAACTACAGAACTTCATTAGTTTACACAGGAACAAAAAGTTCTTCACATCAATAAATTTATTGAAGAAAAAAATATAGCCGAAAATATTGGAGATAAAACATAAATAATTTTATATTTATTTGAAATTTTTCAAAAGAAACTCGTGAATCTTACTCTAGGCCCCGAAAAAACGTTCCTCCAAGACGAAAAAAAATTATAAAAATAAAAATAAACTTACATTTTCTGTGAAGCACCAAGCCGGATTAGAAACAAAAAACCTACCCTGAATAACAACCGCAACACAAAGACAGATACAACATACATGGAGCTCTGGTTCGAACACATGGCACAGGGAAAAAACTAAGAAATTCAGGGCAAATTGTTCTGTGATACTAACATTTTCGAACCCAAACCACCTCGGAATGTTGAACTTTTTGATTTGAAAAACCCATTCAAAACAAAACCTATTACTGAAATAGAAATTTAAAGTGTGAAACAAATAAGCTGAAAATGTCGGGTGCAAATCTTCGCTTCGGAGTGACCAGCGCGGATACCCAAAACCGGACGTTCGAATGTCACCCCGGCGGAGTGACATCAGCAACCATCATTCTTTCGCTGGGGTTCCTAGGCATGGCCGCCAACATCGTTCTCATGGCTCTTCTCGTCGTCATGAAGAATCTCAGGAGGCAAGTATATACCCATAATCATTTCAATGATGTTTATACCTAGTTCATTGAGTTGGTAAAATTTTCGATTGCTGAGTGCTATTCGGCATCGTTTATGTACCCGCGAAGCTACTCAAGAGGTGAGTATCTATTTACAATTTAACTTGCATAATATGAAATTATTTGTTTACATTGTACGTGCTTCATTCAGTAAAACGAACACCGAAATTACTTACACTTGGCGCAATTACATCAGGAGGTAAATTTCTCGGGGAAGCTTGCATCGTTCGTTAATTTCAGAGCTGTGCCTTAACGAATACTTTGACTTCGAACAAATTAATTATTAAGTCCCCATCTGGAAAAAATTTCTTCTTACCCCCTAAAAACTAACTGATCGATAACTAGATTAGAATGACTTTCATTCGGCAGAAATAAAAAACTGCAGTTCAATCTTCGTGGCAATGAAGTGCTGCGGCATAGAGGATGGGAGAAACGTAGGGGAATGCTGTCGAGTAGCACCGCATAAGAAACGTATTCGGTGGTTACTGACTGCTACCAAAATAGTGACACATCATATCCCAGTAAATGGCCACTTGACCACTTGCCTAACCACCCGCCTCGTCTTTCCCAGATGGTCTCAATGCTTGCTGTTCCATCATGCGCTGGTGGACTGCTGCCAAATCATCGCCTAACCACCTGCTTGACCTCCCTAACCACCTGTCTCATCGCCCAGATGGTCATAACCACTTGCCTGACCACCCTAACCACCTGTCTCATCGTCCAGATGGCCCTAACCACCTGCCTGACCACCCTAACCACCTGTCTCATCGTCCAGATGGTCATTACCACCTAACTGACCACCATAACCTTCTACCTCGTCCCTCCAGATGGTCACAAGGCCTCCTCTTCCACCAAGCCCTAGTGGACTGCCTGAGGGCGGCCATCTTGGTACCGTTGGGCCGGTCCATCTACGACTGCCAGCCGGTGGCCAAATGCTCGCTGGTGGAGACAGCGTTCCTGCTACTAGTGACCGTGTCTACCATCAATATGCTAACTACGGTAGTCAGTCAAGTAAAGGAAACTAACTCACGCGCACTTGAGCGTCGTTAATTACCTTCCTCAATCTAAACAATCACTTTAAACTTCAAACAAAAGCTGTTATCTCTAATGGATGCTGGTGCTGGTCATTTGTGTGATTTGAAAAGTTTAGTGAAATTTTTTATAACTGAGTCGGAGAACGGAATGGAATTGAAGACATAATATAAGTTGTCAATCCTTCAAATATTTATTGTCCGACTATAACTTTCTTCTTCACATCACGTCATATTAAAATATTTCGAACCAAATTTTTTTGTAAACTCTTTTACTCAGTACTCATTATTATATTAGTATTAAATTATTTTCAAAATTCATTTCCGAAGAAAATAACTGCAAATTTTCTCAGTAATTTATCAATAAATTAACAACTGCCCGATTGTTACTCCGACTATGTTACTTTAATTAAAGGTAATCAAATTAAAGGTGCCTAATTTAATTAGGGATTATCAGCACCTGCAATCCATGACTGCATCCACAAGGGAAAATAATTCATACATTCATCCATACGAAGATAAATATCAATCGTACCGTGTGGATAAAATGAGCTATTTTCCCTCCTGGAGAAGATAAAAAGTAAAAAGGCGAAGCGACTTAGCTAGAACTTCTGACGTTGTCGTGCTGTAGAACTTCTCACTTCCGACGTTGTAGTACAATAGAACTTTTCAATTCTGACGTTGTATTATAGTATAACTTCTCACTTCCGACGTTGTCGTGTTGTAGAACTTTTCACTTTTAACGTTGTAGCATCGTATAACTTCTCACATCAGACGTCATCGTGTTATAGAACTTCCCATAACAGACGTTGTAGTAGAATAGAACTTCTCAATTCAGACGTTATATTATAGCATAACTTCTCACTTCTAACGTTGTAGTATCGTACAACTGCTCACTTCTGACGTTGCCGTGTTGTAGAATTTCTGGCTTCCGACATTGTAGTATCGTAGAACTTCTCACTTATTATATAGTCGGGTGTCGTATCATATAACTTTTTACAACAGCCTTTAATCTCTTTACAAATTATATCGGTTTGAAAGGTATTTATATTTAGTCGTTGTTTACGTAATGGTGCGGCTAGCTAAAAATATATGCTCGAAATTGAGCTGTGGAATTATTTTTGATTGCCTATCTGTTTTTTGGGGAATAATCGTTTTTGGCACCGAAATCTGTTATTAACTAGCAATCAGCTCTTGCGAGGGCAATCAATTCCTGACGTGCAATCTGTGCTTGACTGACAAACGGTTCTTGACTGGCTAACTGTTCTTGACTGGCTAACTATTCTTGACCAGTAATCTTTTCTTGACTGGCAATAAATTCTCGACAGGCAATCAGTTCCTGACGCATACAATAAAAGGTTCAATACCATATCACGACGGCTGCCGTGCCATCTCTAGAGGTTTAAAAATCTACAGCTTTAATCGATATTTATTGCAACAAAATCACCTCGCAATGATTTCTTATAACTTATTGAACAATCAAAACTTCTTGACTGAAGACACGGGATTTATTCCATGGGCTTAACAATGTAAGACTGTGTTGTGACAAGCGTTAGCGGGGAGACTAAACTAATATACGAGTCATTCGGAAAGTTGGGTAGAAAAACATCACGACATGATACTTTGTTTGAATGTTAGTGCTCAAAACCAGTCTTGAAACCATGTTCTTTTTTTGAGTGAAACACAAAATCTAAATTTTCACTGACGAAATATGCCGTCACCATTGATGAAACGATGGGATTAATACAAAAAATTAGTTTACAGCACAAGCTTTCATGGTGCAAGTTCGCATATATGTACGCTATGGATTCCTACTCAAATTCAGCTATGAAAGAAAACAGCCGAAATGCAATATGAGATTTAATTACGATAAAATTTCATTGAAATTTATGCCAAAGGGTTCTCACCTACAAGCTTTATGTGATTTTTTTCCATGAAAATTTCTCCAAAAATTTATTTATGGCACGAACGTTAGTGTGAATCTGGTCTTAAATCATGACGTCTATTATATCAACACCCTCAAATTCCTGACCTTCTTTGTAAACTATCAATATTTTTATCAACGATATTTCTGCTGAAATTTTTCCAAAATAAAATTCATCTTTCGTTTTCACCAGGATTTTATTTCGTGTATAAATTCGTATAATTTTTCCTTGATTTATAAGTATAATGAATGATTTATCAGTCTTCCGAGATTTATATCAATTAAATCATATTGACTTGTCATCATGACTTGCTATTATTTTCTTCCATTTCGAGGAATATAATTTTTTCTGAAGTACTGCGAAATAATACAATTAAATCACTGAAATGTTATTGCAGTGAAAGAATGACAGTTATTGCTCAATTATTAAATTATGAAATTATGAATCACTGAAATGTTATTGCAGTGATAGAATGACAGTTATTGCTCAATTATTAAATTATGAAATTATGAATCATCGAAATGTTATTGCAGTCATAGAATGACAGTTATTGCTTAATTATGAATCTATTTTTATCCAAATTTGCATTTTATTTGATAGTATCGATTTGCTAAATATACTATAGATTTTTGATCAATATTGACACGTGCAAAAGGTTAACTTCGTACCTTTAATTAGCTACGTAGTTAGTTTATTGCATATATCTTCCAATTATTATTAAATTTACCAATTCTTTATTGATTTTAAATATTTAATTTTTAATCAAGAATTTAAATAACTAATTAGGAGCACGTAATAATATAAATCTATATTTTACTTCTTACTTAATTCCTAATACCTAATCTAGCATTTACTACTTAATATAACACATTCTACTTAATCTCACATTCATCTTCATCTCACACATTCTACTTCATCTAACACATTCTACTTAATCTATCACATTATACTCACTCTCCCGCATTCTACTTACTCCCACACATTCTACTCACTCTTACACATTCGACTTACTCTCGCACATTCTTCTTATTACGTGCTCTCTAATCTCCTACTTATCACGTGCTCTCTAATCTCCTACTTACTACGTGCTCTCTAATCTCCTACTTATCACGTGCTCTCTTATCTCCTACTTATCATGTGCTCTCTAATCTCCTACTTACTACGTGCTCTCTTATCTCCTACGTACCTACACTATGTTGATTATAAAATTTCCGCGTTTGTGCTCAACTTTTATTGTCTCGACCTTCTCCATCCCAGCTCTCAATTCTTTCTCTATTTTTCACATTTTAGGCTCCTCATTTATGTCCTAATTATGTCCCTAAATTTAGTTCTCTTTATATATTTATATACAACTCACCGTCTCACCATAAACAGTTCTTTAACCCTCTCCCACTCTTCAGCCTCAATAAGTCCTCCTTCTCTCTCCCCTTTAAGCCTCATTTAACCTTTCTCTCTTATGCAAGCCTTATTAAATCCTCTCTTATTCTTTCTCTCTCTCTCTCTATTTCAAGCCTTATTAAATCCTTTCTCTCTCCTGCAAGCCTTATTTAATCCTCTCTTTCTCTCTCTCACTCTCCTTCAATCCTCATTAAATCCTCTCTCACTCTCCTTCAATCCTCATTAAACCCTCTCTCTTTCTCTCTCTCTCGTTCGTCCCCGTCTTGGACAGAACGAGTTTCAGTTGTATTCTCTGGTAAGTTTAAGTCCGGCCATCTTTATGCATTTTATATCCCTTAGCCTTGCCATACAATACACTTTACAGGCTCAAACCCCGCTGTCTCCAAACGCTGCCCAACGCTCATGTATTTTTCATTATACATAACGACTTATTTCTGCGTTTTAAAATTAAAATGTCCTAATCAATCACATTTTATTCATCTTCGCTTTGTTGCATTGCATGACGCTATACGGCTGCTTTGATATTTGTTCGAGGTCTTTATCAATTTTTTTATTGATTAATTTAAAACCAGATGCGCAATATGAACTTCAATTGCAATGCTATTTTTATCAACATAAAGATTATACAGATAATAAATAATTAATTTATTTTACTCCTAACGGTAATTGTTAAAATTCAATTTCCATGAATAGCAGTTAAAATGCCATTCCAAAAAGAATAGTTTGTGTGTCTTGCAAACATGGCGCTTTAAATCACCTGCTTGACCACTTGCATAAGAAAAAGTTTATATCTCAACAAAAATGAATTAAGTGATTTAAATAAATGCTTTAAAAAAATCAAATATGCTAGGCATGCAAAGAAAGGCATGCATTCCTCTGTCTTGTATTTATACAAAACACACCGGAATGAATGAGGGATGTTCACGCTGCAGTTCACTCTTTCATCAACAAAATTTTGTCACGCCATCATCCCAACATGTGAATAGCGTCCAGCTATTGTCCTGCAGCCGACAATTTTCTCGCAATGTGGAAAGTTGCGTCCATTTGCATATTTTTTAGTAAGCTTGAGATTTGACGCATAAGCTTCTAGCATGAATTTTTGTCTGAATATTATAAGCAGATAAAATAATTGTAAAGAATATACGGTCCTGAAAACATACATCAACAATTAAGAAATTATGTAATAGCGACTGAACAATTAATTTCTACGTAACAATAATTAATTTATTCCGAGTTATTTATATTGAATTTTCACCTTACTGTTCAGAACCGGTGTGGTTGTTCTCAGTTGTGAACTTAATTGTGTTCTAGGAATTTAAAAGCAAAAACAATACCACAAAAATTCACCATATCTTTATAAGAGAAAACGTTTCAGAGTCCAGCTCCATCGTCAGTTCACAAAATTCAGTTCAGAAGAAGTTCAGATCTAGAAACACAAATACAATCAATTAGTAAAGTAAAAGGCACTGCTGGGTTTTAAAACGGAGAATAAATAAATAAGACATGAAACTAACGCTAGTAAACGGCCTATCTATTTACTATTTCAAGAGCAACGGAGCTAAAAGCAGCATTTAGACTAGGCTTCTGCTTGAATATATATAGGGATTCTAAAATGCGTAGATCAGTAACACCGGATGCGGATGCTAGAATTTTAAAGTCATTATCGGATACAGAGGTGTTGCACTGCTCAGCAAGAACACGTACAGCAGAATGAGGTGGATGTGCAAGTAGGTTCCCCGTCCTATAACTCCTGCCCCTATGCTCAGCCAGCCTAGTATAGAAATTGCGTGACGTCATACCGACGTACGCTGATGCGCACTGCGTACAAATATATCTGTAAACTAGTGACGATCGCATAAGAACAGGTAGGGTATCCTTAAACCTGAAAAACAAGCTGATTCTAAAATTGTTAACTAGCAACACATGAAGATTTACATCCGGAAGATATTTAGCAAATAAAACTTTTAATTCCTTTGAATGCGGGGCCAAAGAAGGGAAAAGAACAGTAAACAACTTTCCTATTGTCACACTTGGGAACAACTGCAGTATATTGCTTGGACGTAAACTTCTTAATTTGGGTAAACACCAGGTGCGATGGAAAGCCATTTTGTGAAAAGATATTGCGCAACAATTCAAATTCAGAGTGCATGGCTAGATAAGTAGAGCAAATGCGAAAGCCGCGGTTTATCAATGTTTGGATCCCATTTAATTTGAAGCGATTACTAATTGATTGTATTTGTGTTTCTAGATCTGAACTTCTTCTGAACTGAATTTTGTGAACTGACGATGGAGCTGGACTCTGAAACGTTTTCTCTTATAAAGATATGGTGAATTTTTGTGGTATTGTTTTTGCTTTTAAATTCCTAGTTAACTTGCGATTTAAGCAAACAAGTGATTTTAATAATTGTGTTCTATCCTAGATTTTTGGACGTTTTGTTGCGAGCTTAATGAATGCAAATAACTGCATGTTAAATGCACGCATTAAAATTATTTAAATTAAATGCAGCATGTATATTTTAGAATATTTTTTGTGTTTAGCATGTACAGCGTGCATTGGTTTTGCAGGCATGTGAGCTTTTTTGTGCTCGCAATTGATTTATAATTATTAAAAATAACTGAGAGTGCTCGAGCTTTGCTGGATTATAAAATGGCCTGATATAAAGCGATAATCTTTTTTGATTATTAATAGGTATAACAAACGGGTATTAACAACAAACCACTTATTCATTGAATTGATAAACTGATCTAAATTAATTTAAAGTATTAATTAACTCATTATGGAACAACAATTTAATGAAGGTTTTGTTTGTGTAACATTTGAACGTATTTAGGGCTAGAAGATATATTAAATTTGTAGATATAGTTTGAATATAAAATATATAGTTTTGAATATATGATAAATATTTTCATGATTTATAAGGTCAATGCGTCACAAAATTCATTCAAATTAGATCGGCGTCAACGAATTTTCTTCCGCGCTTCATTTTGAGAATAAATCGTTTTTTCGCAAATTCTGTGAACAAGTTATTATGAATTACTCGCTGAATTGAAGATATCACCCAAAATCATTCCCTGGAATAAATGCATTCATATCGAATTGCTTAAAATTTCACACCATCAAATTTTCGACAAAGTCAACAAATTCCATTTTACTCCATAGTTAACAAGTTCAAATTTTTGCTCTTCTTCAGGCCCTCTTTGAAATAAAAATAATTGACAAAATACGCAAAAAATTCAAACGTATACTAATCGAAACTTACGTCAAATAATTACGTCAAAATAATTAACATTACGTGCCGTGGCGCCGACGCAGGTTCTGAACGACGCGCCGCTCCTGCCGGAGGACACGGACCAGAAAGCCATGCCCCTGATGATGGAGTCACCACAGTGCGTTCTCTTCGGCACCTCCATGATCTGGTTCGCCTCCATCACCATCAACCTGGGGCCTACATTCCTCTCCGGGGCCCTCGCTGCCAACATCGATGAGGTCAGCAATGATGGAGGTAGCAATGATGAGGTCAGCAATGATGGAGGTAGCAATGATGAGGTCAGCAATGATGAGGTCAGCAATGATGGAGGTAGCAATGATGAGGTCAGCAATGATGGAGGTAGCAATGATGAGGTCAGCAATGATGGAGGTAGCAGTGATGAGGTCAGGGTTATTCTTGATTGGAATATTAATGGTAGACATGAGGGCTCTCATCGCCTACATCGACCAGGACAGCAGGGATGATGCGGGCCCCAATTAAGGAGTCCGTCCCTCCCCATGCTCCACACTCCCTTCACTCCCCTCACTCCCCCAGGTGTACCACTCCCCATCGTGCCCCATCAGCATGGGCCCGCTACGTCACTACATGCTCCTCTCACTCCCCCCACTCCCCCAGGTGTACCACTCCCCCTCGTGCCCCATCATCATGGGCCCGCTGCGCCACTACGTGCTCAACGTGCTGTGGATCATCACCAACCTGCTGGTGGTGCTGCTCACCGTCTTCCACCTCGTCAAGCTCTACAGGGACCTCAGCACCTCGTCCCTGGAGGCCGTCCGTGTCGCTTCCCTCGTCACCACCATGATCAGCGTCACCCAGGGTGAGAGGGGGAGTAGTAGGGGGAGTAGTAGGGGCAGTAGTAGGGGGAGTAGTAGGGGGAGTAGTAGGGGCAGTAGTAGGGGGAGTGATAAGGGGAGTAGTAGGGGGAAATAAGAGGAGTGAGGTAAGCGTTACGACCATGATAAGCATCACCCTATGTGAGCTGAGGGATTGGGGAATAGGGTGAACAGAGGGAATAGGGGACGTGCTAATCTCCACCAAACTTTGAGATGCGGGAACATCGTCAGGTGAAGAGCGACATTTGCTGACGTGCTGGTAACAGCGTGCTAATCGCGACATGCTAATCATGTCGGGTTAATCAATGTTAATCATGACGAGCTCAGCAACACGTGATAATCAAAACGTGCTAATCCCTGCTAATCATCACGTGCTAATCCCTGCTAATCTTGACGTGCTAATCCCTGCTAATCATGCCATGGTAATCCCTGCTAATCATGACGTGCTAATCCCTGCTAATCATCACGTGCTAATCCCTGCTAATCTTGACGTGCTAATCCCTGCTAATCATGCCATGGTAATCCCTGCTAATCTTGACGTGCTAACCCCTGCTAATCCCTGCTAATCTTGACGTGCTCACCCCTGCTAGTCCCTGCTAATCATGCCATGCTAATCCGTGTTAATCCCTGCTAATCCCTGCTAATCAAGACGTGCTAACCCCTGCTAATCCCTGCTAATCTTGACGTGCTAACCCCTGCTAGTCCCTGCTAATCATGCCATGCTAATCCGTGTTAATCCCTGCTAATCAAGACGTGCTAATCCCTGCTAATCTCCCAAAGACCCCGAGGCGCGTGAACACCGTCAGGTGAAGAGCTACATCGCGCGCATGGAGAAGGAGGGCGTGGAGAGGGTGAAGATGTTCGTGGTGGTGGTGGTGATGTACCTCGTGTGCTGGGGCCCTCTCTTCCTGGTTACCCTCATGACCCCTGCTGTGGACAAGCCGGGCCTCAGTCATGACGTAAGACGTCTTCTTGAATTATGTTGTTGTTGTTGTTGTTTAAATATGTTGTTGCTATTGAAATTTGTTATTGTTGTTATTGAAATGTGGTATTGTTGTTATTGAGATATGTTATTGTTATTGAACTATGTTATTGATGTTCTTGATATATGTTATTCTTATTATTGAAATATGTTATTCTTATTATTGAGATATGTTATTGTTATTGAACTATGTTATTGATGTTCTTGATATATGTTATTCTTATTATTGAAATATGTTATTGTTCTTATTGAAATATAATATTAATAATATTGAAATATTTTGTTATTATTATTGATATATTTTATTTTTATTATTAAAATATGTTATTGTTGTTATTGAAATATGTTATTGCTATTATAGAAATATGTAATCATTCTTATTGAAATATGTTATTGTTATTATTGATATATGTTATTGTCATTATTGAAATTTGTTATTGTTATTTATGAAATATGTTATTGTTATTATTTAAATATGTTATTGGACTATTTATTGCTTTGTAATTGTTATATGTTATCTTCTATGGAGCTAAACAAATTTTCGCAATAAATTATTAAATACCTTATATCTAGAAATATTCATAAGTAAATATTTCCAAATTGCTCGGTTTTGAATAGATTTAGAACAATTATTAGCCTGATATCATTCATGGCGTGACTATCTCTGAAATATCTGAATTCGTTTGAAAAAAATTCTAATTTTAGTACTAATTTTTCATGTATCTTCTATGGAGTGATAATCGCGGTGAAATATCTATGCATTTCTCGGATTTGAATAGAATAGAAATAATTATAATGATGATAACTTTTACTTTTTTCTTTTAATGTTTTATAATTATTTAATACGAATAAGTTAATCTTTAATAAGTTTAACTTAAGTAAAAATGTGTTAGGGTAACCTAAAGTTACTCAAAGTGTAGTGATGATTCAGTTATTTTTCAGTTAAGAGTGAATTTTATTCAGCTATTTTTTTAAGAACATTTTTACCAGACCTGAAGCTGCAATTTGTTCAAACAACTGGCCTACTTTTATCATACGGAACTAATTAACTAAGTTAAATAGCTTTAGTTAAGCAGATAACTGATTATTTTTAATAAACTCCTGTAGGTGACCCTACACATCGCCTACATCCACGCGTTCGTGAACCCTGCGCTGTTCCTCGTCCTACATAAGGGCCTACGTCGCGCCGTAGCCAGCATCGTCTGCTGCACCTGCTATCAGGTGACTGCAGCTGCCATCAGGTGACTGCAGCTGCTATCAGGTGACTGCAGCTGCTATCAGGTGACTGCAGCTGCTATCAGGTGACTGCAGCTGCCATCAGGTGACGTGACTGTAGCTGCCATCAGGTTGTTTTTCTCAATAACTGTATTTAGCTACATTATAATAATTTTTGTCTCCAATAAAGAATAACTTATTTTTCACTGAATTTTTTTTCTTTGAATTAATGTTGAATTTGACGGCAGGGGCGCGACGAGCCCCCCAGCCCCGACCCTGCCGACAGCCTCGCGTCAGACGCCGCCATCACCGTGGCAGGTGAACCCTGAACCCTTAACTATGTACACTCAACCCTGAACCTTGAACCCTGAACCCTGATCTGTTGAATCTGTTCCCTAAACCCTGAACTTTGAACTTGAAATATGAACACTGAACTCTGTATTCTGAACCTCAAACTTATACCCTGAATACTGAACTATGAACCCTGAGCCTTGAACCCTGAACCCTGAACACTCAAACCTGTATATTTAAACCTCAACTATGAACCCTGAACCTTGTACTATTATTCTTAAAAGTGAACCCTGAATCTTTACACTGAATCTGTAACCTGAACCTGAACCCAGAGCCTGAATCTTGAAACTGTACCCTGAACCTGAATCCTGATCCTGGAATTTGAATCTGAACCGCAAAGCTTTGATACTTAATCTCGGAACCGTGACGTAAACATTGAATATTAAATAATAAACCGTGCATGGAAAGTTAGGTGCATAATATCTGTGTACTTAACTTTCTTTGGGAACCATAAACTTTGCGACTTTTTGTCAAGAAAACAGGATGCTCGTTTCAACCAAACAGACATAGCAGGAGGAATAAGCTAAATGGATATGGTTCTTGGTTTCTTTACCCGGACCTTAATACGTATGATGAAGAAAACAATAATGAATTATATTAGGGATTTTAGCTAATTCAAAAGCCGATTCGAAAAAAATGCGAATAAAATTCTCACGAATACTTCCAGACCGTAACGTATATTTGTTAATTGGACCCTTCTTCGATCACGGAAAAATTTCATAGTCTAAATTCATGTATTGTTTAATGAATAATCAAGTTAGTCTGGCAGATATGAATTCCAAAAAAGTCATAACGAAAATGATAAGATTGAAGTCAGACAAACGATTAATGCGTGGCTACTACCAATTACCAGGTTTTCATGTCCGTTTAAATCTTTCATCTAAAACTGGAACACAAGCGTACGAAAATATGGCAATTCATAATATTTTCTGGCATCAGGTGGCTTTGGTGGACGTGGCATGAACCTGGCTGGCGGTGGCATGGCCTTGGGTGGCGGTGGCTTGACACTGGGCGGCGGTGGCATGACACTGGGTGGCGGTGGCATAACCCTGGGTGGCAGTGGCATGACACTGGGTGGCAGTGGCATGGGCGACGACAGCGTGGCAAGCGTCAACACCCACTTCGCGAGCCTCGAGCGAGCTGGTTATGTGTGAGTCCCGCTGACCCACTTTGAATCTTAACGCTGACTCACCTTCCGTGTTATCCTTGACTCATCATGAGTGTACCTAAATCATACCTAGTGTTATCCGTAACCCATCATTGGTGTTATGTCTGCGTAACTATGACTCTTATGATTGACTGTATATATCATAGATATCATAAAATATATGATATATTTCTACATAAATTTTGTGGCCGACTCACTGTTTAAAATATTTTTTACTTGCCATACTCATAATAACGAATCATATATCTTAATCACCCGTCGATCTTTAACCCATCATGTGATCTCTGACCCATCATGTGATCTCTGACCCACCATGTGATCTTTGACCCACCATGTGATCCTTGACCCACCATGTGATCTCTGACCCACCATGTGATCTCTGACCCATCATGTGATCTCATGTGATCTCTGACCCACCATGTGATCTCTGACCCACCATGTGATCTCTGACCCACCGTGTGATCTCTGACCCATCATAATGACGCTGCAGGCTGAAGGAGGTGCAGGGGTCACCGGGTGCAACGGGCGGCGGAGGGGCACAGGTCAAGGGCAGGTAAAGGTCACCATTAAAGTTCTGGGGTTTGCATTCTAGGTCAGGGCCACCATTCATGGACAGGTCAAGACCTCTGATACTCACTCCTAGGCAATTCGAAAGGCTTTTAAAGCCTAAAATCCGTCTTACAGTTTCATTACTAATTTTTTAAAAACTAAGGTTGCGCATTACAAATTTCCATACAATTTTCTGATAAATGCCTCATATACATCTAATATTCTGATGAGTCGCAGGACAACGAAAATTTATTTACATTTTTCTTGTGCAGGGAAACTGTCCTCTGATACGAGGGTGAGTTATCAAACGATGTCGGTCGACCGGAATCAAATATGACGCGCATTAAAATTTTATAGCATGTATACTCGAAGGTTTGCTTATGTTAAGATAGAAGAATGTGAGAAACGGAGTAATGTGTCAACAAAGATAACGTGTGAAAGAGTGTAACGTGTGACGGAGGTTACATCTATACATGACTGTGCATTCTGGTTTGTGTACAACTCGAGGCATATCAGGTCGGGTGAACTACCCTTGAACCTTTGCATTAACTTAACTATTATAAATCAAACGATCCGACTCGTATTTGATTCATTTTCGTTTACTTCAGGGCTGCCTGAGCACCTGCTGGAAAACAGCACCTCAGGCATGGTCTCTACTAGCATATCGTCTCCACGAATCCAAAAATCCGACGCCTACAACTCTTCCACCAAACTACATTCCACCGCCACCTTCTCCCCACCTGTCGCCAGAACTGCAGTTTCAGGCAACACTACCGCTTCCGTTTACGCTCTCCACAACCTTTCGCCACCTCAACTCCACAAACAATCTTCTTTATCACTTAAAAATGCGTCACTAAACTCGCTTACTAAGCCGACGGTTTCCTACAGCGCCCCAGCACCGGCCGCACCCTTTGGCACCAAGTCTAACTACTTCGGAGGGAGTGGTGGTGATTTGGTCACCGCTATCCTGATGGGGGAAACATCTCTAGATGGATTCGACAATGTAGAAAGTGTCTCGAACAGGGGACTGAACAGGGTTAACAGTGTCGGCAGTCGTCGGAATTCTCAGGTGTCGGGTCGGATGTTCGGCCGACAAGGTAATCGAATGTCGGTCGCTTCCATCTTGGGTGGACAACACGGGGAAATTGATACGCATATGACTCCTCTAGAACACGAGCTCAAAAAAAGGCAGGAGAAAGAGAAAATGGAGAAACGTATCACAGAAATGGTTATAGGTGACTTTTATTAGCTAATAACGTTTAAATAGCGATGTTAGTTGAATACACCTTAAGAAGTGCCCATATACGACAAGGAGTGTACTAGTTGTATACGCGTCTATTCATTCGGAATTTGTTCTCTTCCTTCTGATTATGAATGAATTGATGAAAACGCCGTTCCGAGAAGACAAAATAAGTTGTGCAGGCAAGGTCATGTCTCACTCTGGAAACACCTAAGGGTTATGTATGATACCCCGTATCTCGAGATACGCTAGAGACACTCTGTGGTCATTATTGGTACCGTGACTGGAAGACTCAGGAATCATGAATCCGTAGTTCTCAGGTATCCTAATTGAAATCACAAATGAATTACTGAGGAGCACAGAAAAAAATATTTTAGGTATCGCAAGAATCATCAATAAACAGGAAGAAGGTTTTAACTCCGCTTAATATAAGCAAATGTATAAAAACATTATACCTACACATAAAGTACTAGCATCGGAATGTGTTGAATGGTCAATCATTGGCCGCTCATAATACGCCGGTGATTATTAATAGATCTAACTTTGCAATAAATAAGCAATTCAATCAAAACTCATAATTGTTGAACTAAGTGTCTAATGTACAGTGTTGAACTGTGTTGGACTGTGTCAAATATCCAATGTTGAACTGTGTTGGACACAAGCGTTGGACTGAGTTGAACGCAATTGTTGGACCATGTGTCAAAAGTACAGTGTTGAACTGTGTTGGATACAAGTGTTTAACTTTGTTGGACACAAGAGTTGAACTGTGTTGAACTCGACTGTTGGACTATGTGTCGACTGTAAAATGCTGGTGAAATGTTTAACATTATATCTGACTGTGCGTCTAGGGCACTGCGTTGAATTGTGAGTTTGATGTACAGTGTTGTACACAAATGTAGAACTGTGTGTTGAATTATCCAATCATATTTTAGCCTCAGTGGAGTATTTTTCAACAAGTTTTACCATAAGGAAAGATGTATTGCGCTGCAAAGCCATGTATTTTAATTTTACACCACGTTTAAAAAGACTATAAACATTCCGGTAGCGTAGAAATATATGTTTTATGCAAGCATTTGGCTTAATTTTTTGTAGTCACTGCAACGCTTCACTCGGTGTTTGTTGTTCTGCATTCGTAATTTCTACATGATGAACTATCAGCACGGACTAGCAGATTTTTATGCTGCTAGAAAATCCTTATAGACTAAGAGCAATTCAAAGAGTAACCATTGAGGGTAATTCACTGATGAATAATCATTGAAGGGTAGCCATGGAAGGGTAAATATTGAAGAATAACAATTGAAGGGTAATCATTAGTTCTAGACAAGCTAGACGTCTCAGGTTCTAAGAGGTGCTGCAAAGCTTAGGCCTTCTAAGGCACCTAAGCGTCTTTCCCGAATAGTGGACAAGCAAAGTATCCTATAGAGTTCTCTGATTGGCTAGGATGCCTATACCTTGTGGTATACCAAGAAATCCTATAGCAGCCTAGAGGGGTCTATAGAGGGGCCATCAAGGTATCGTGTAAGATGCGTGCCTATTGGACTACCGAGGTATCCTCGTGCATCCTACTAGCCCATGAAACTAAACCTCAAGGTCCACCGAGGTATCCTAGAGCACTCTACTGGGATATACGTCCAAAGCACATAGACCACCTATAGGTATCCTAGAATGTGCTGCTGCTGCTGATTTTCGTGTATGTTTGGCACTGCTTTTAATTTGTGTGTGTTGTTGTTAAATGTTGCATGGAAATAACATTCGTCACAAGCTTTCTACGGCAATTTACGAATTAGAATGCTTATACATTTTATATTTATATTTATACTACCAAAAGATAATCTATCCTAAATGTAGAATAATAATTGGAGTTAAAATGTATAGTACCAGTCACACTGTGGGACAGTGGCCGTGATCGCAACTGATGTCGAAAAATATAGCTTCTAAATCGTCTAAGGACGATTACGTTAGATTGGTTGAATTTGAGATTAGGTTCAGGTCGCTAAGCAATTTATAACAAACTTTTCGGCCACTGTAATACAGTGACCGCAGAAATGTCGTGCTGTTCCTGTGACGCATGATATGCAATTGTGCAATGCTGTTACCGTCAAAAAATGCTGTAATATTTGCTAGAGTATCCCAACTGAAATCTATATTTAATCTTTTTGAACAGAAATTATTTAGGTTGGCCATAGCATATATTCATCGTTTTGAATGGAATAATGTTTTTAATGTATTTCTTAATGTTTGTTAGTGTTAATCATGCAGTCCGTCAACATGCACCTGGTCTCAAGAATAAAAGTTTCTCGCCAACTAGAAATTTTACAACAAAAACCAGGCTCCAGTAATACATGTGCGAGAACAATTTTGTAAGTTCATTACATCAAGAAATTTTTCGTGATTTTTTTGCAAGAAAATATTTCCTGTCAAAAGCAAAAAAATCTGTCAAAGATTTCTAACATGTACCATACGCCCTCAACCTGCTGGAGCCAGCGGCCTAACTTCAATATCAAGCAGTTACTTAACTGTATTCTAAAAGAAATATTAGGTTGAAGTCATTCAATATCATCTTGCTTGCGAACGCATCACATTATTTTATTTCATTCATAACTCAAATATATTTCCTAATCTATTCCCCATCAATTTACTATTTCCTTATCCATACTCTTTAATATATTCCTATCCACCTCCAATCCATTTACCACAATATATCCCTATCTATCCCTTATCCATTTACCACAATATATCCCTATCCACCCCTATCCATCTACTATAATATATCCCTATCCAACCCCTATCCATTTACTACAATATATCCCTATCCATCCCATATCCATTTACTGTAATATATCCCTATTCATCCCCTATCCATTTAATACAATATATATCCCTATCTATCCCTAATCCATTTACTGTAATTTATCCCTATTCATCCCCTACCCATTTTCTAAAATATCTCATCGCGTTCTTGCCTATAACATAAATATTCTAATATCTTGCCCTTCATTCTGCAAGATCAATATTTTATCCTATTTCTATTTATTACGCATATCCTTATTATATCCCTCTCATCATCAAATTTCTTATAAATCAATTTATTACATAAATATTTAAATTTTAAGTGATATACAATGGTTATATTAGATTTCATAATTAGTGTTTGTTAGGTTAATTCATTTTCAATATTTGTCACGTTCGTAATTATGGTCAATTACTACCCCTTTTATTGGCTCTTAATAATTGTTATAATTGATATATGATAAATATATTTTCTGGAGGATGTAATTGCGAAATGATCGACTTCATGGAATGAAATAATGTAGAATGAAACGTCGTAGTGACGTTTCATTCGCAATTATGTCACGTCAATTTATACGTCGTGCCGCGATTTTGCTTTAGGATACATTTTCTACTATTATTTTTTTGGCGTAATGTGTGGTTTGTGGCTTATGACACCATGCACACTAAAGGTATACTAAATATTTTGAACCTTATATGTATTTGTCATAGTTTATGGTTGTAAGCATGCGTGCAGCAAATATATATAGGGGCGTTTGTTGCTTAGCCCTGAAAATTTCGTCTCACAATAGGAAACGGCTTGGAAAAAAGGAGTGAAGAATCGGATTGAAAATTCAAATTTGATTTTGTTTTTGTCAAATATAAATTTAACTTATAAGACACCAAAATTTTTTTCCCTATTTTAAACGAGAGTAAAATGGGAGTCCTATCTTCTTTGTAAAATGTTGATTTGAAAGGATTTATATGTAATAAAAATGCATAAGCTATATTATTATCAACGTGATTAAGGATTACGGCAATGACAGGATTTGGGATGAAAGGATTCCAATATTGCAGGAACATATAATTGTCACGACCGGGCTAACCTATTAGTATTTAATATATAACATAATTATTATGCAGGGTTGACGTCTTTAGAGTATTTGTTAAAGGAAAGGGATATGCAAGTTATTTAATGACAAACTGTTGATATATTTTGCAAAGAATGATATCAAGACGACGAGCATTACTATACATATACTATAGAACTACAAGTATATGGTCCTCATATACATTATTATATGATACCCGACAACATGGGTGACATATTTTTAAACAGAAATAATTATGCCTCGTCACATGGCGTCGGACTAGCAATAGATTTTATATGATGTTTACTGGGTGTGTAAAGGAATAATCTATTTGTTATCTCAAAAATTCTAAGTGTAAATAAATGCTCAATCTATGAATGTTGTAGATTATTTATATATGTGAAGGTAGGCTTGGATATGTACTTTTGGGCTTAGTTATTACTTTAATGTGCAGACTTTTTCTTAGTTGTGGCTTATTGTACGGGGTTTTACATAACAATGGCTTAATGGATGGAGGGTTTTACTTAATTAAAGCTCTGTTGAATAAGGTTCTGGTTAAATATGTCTTCAATGTCTTAAACGAGCCACTAAGGTTGCCATGGCAGCTACATGCTATGATTATTATTTGGTAATTTTATTCTTTAAATAAATTATTGAAAAATATGTATTGCAAATAAATTTGTATATTTTTAACCTTCTGAGAAGGGCTAATCCATTGGGAGCTTTGCATATTGGCGAACTGATCTCCGATTGCTCATTAAACGAGTATATATTCCTAGAGGGTTTACCTGAAAAACTTTCTTGTTGGAAATAACGTAGGGTTCATCTGAAAAACTTTCTTGTTGAAAATAACGTAGGGTTCATCAGGAAAACTTCCTTGTTGAAAATAACGTAAGGTTCATCAGGAAAACTTCCTAGTTGAAAAGAACGTAGGGTTCATCAGGAAAACTTCCTAGTTGAAAATAACGTAGGGTTCATCAGGAAAACTTTCTTGTTGAAAAGAACGTAGGGTTCATCAGGAAAACTTTCTTGTTGAAAATAACGTAGAGTTCATCAGGAAAACTTCCTTGTTGAAAATAATTAACGTAGGGTATCAGGAAAACTTTCTTGTTGAAAACAACGTGGGGTTCATCAGGAAAACTTCCTTGTTGAAAATAACGTTGGGTTCATCAGGAAAACTTCCTTGTTGAAAATAACTTAGGGTTCATCAGGAAAACTTCCTTGTTGAAAATAACGTAGGGTTCATCAGGAAAACTTTCTTGTTGAAAATAACGTAGTTTTCTTCAGAAAAACTTGCTTGTTGAAAATAAAATATGTTTCTTCAGAAAAACTTGCTTGAAAATAACATCAACCGGCAAAAAGTCAACGTTGGTGGCTGGAAGATTATGCGTCCGAGGCGGTAGGTGCGATTTATTGTTCCCGCCCCTGTGTCACGATCACGAGTTTGATGAGGAAGCATATCGCATTCTTTATCTAGTCCATCTTTGGTCTTTGGGGCTCTGAACCACCAACTAGCCTGCATGATCGTATAGGTTTAGTCACTAATGCACCAGAATTTATACACTTTATTGCCTCACACTTTAAGATAAACTAAAAATGATCAACGTGTTGTATTTATTTTTAACAATGATTAAAGACGCATAAACGTTACACTTCGTTGCATGCTTTCATCTTGAGGTGCTTCTTGCGTTTAAGATTTGAATTGACATTTGAAATTCAGTTCCTGCATTTGAGGCTTTCATAAATATAAATGAAAATATAAATAAATAACAAATATTAAAAAAACATAAACGTAAATATAAAACCTATATATTGACAAATTTATTCAGCAACAATTCTATTCATATTCATGTTTACACATTGACATCTTAACGCAGCGCATACCTTCACTCCGGCTTTCCACGCAATAATAATTCTAGCTTCTCATCCTTCCGCACTTGGCCTGCAGTAAACTTTAAACTAAAATCACAATTTGAAATTTTCCTGTTTCTCGGACAAAAACTTATTTTGTTTTTTAGTGTTTTTATCATTCTTGAATTCAAAGAAATATTTTTTGTTTAATTAAGAAGTGGACGACTCGTTTAACGAACTTTGTTTGGTATTTAGCTGCATAGTTCGGACATAAATTATTAACTTCTTCACTGTCTTCATTCACTTATCTGCCCGAAAACAATCTGTGTAATATACTACGTTAAATTTTCCTATTAAAAACATAATTCTTCAGAAACTCAGATCCCTCATTTGGTTAAATAGATCCACCAAATTTCAACCTTGAAATCTGGAAGAAGATTGACTTCCCATCTCATTTAAAATTTATTTAAAATGTTCCCTTAGTAAATAAATGTTAACGAATTCAAATTTTGTAGCTGATATTTTAAAGGTGACTCAAGGGTTACAAAACTGGAATTGTTGTCTTCTTTTTTCGTGTCAGGTTATTATTTTATAAGAAGAATTGGAGACCGGATTGTCGTATACTTTGTTTTATTATCCTTTACTATCTTTATATAATAAGTGCGGACTGTCCGTGAAATAGTTTACCAGCTGAATAAAAAACAACCGAGAAAAATTATTGAGTCGTATTGTTCAAATACTTGCACACTTTCTTACCCAAAGCACGAGAAGGGAGCGCATGTAGCACTGATACGCTCATTTGCCGGGTCAAACTGAGTCAAGATGACCTACATAAGGGGAAAAAGTTCAACGCTATTTGGACTCCTTTTCTGCTCATGAACACAAGCCGCACCTTATTTTCCAGCAACTTCCATACAGTGGACCAGAAAACCTACGGAAATAGATTTTTTTGGTCAGCACAGTTCACAGTCTGACAGTTTTGGTCAGCATAGTTTACAGTCTGACAGTTTTGTCAGCATATAGCGTGCAGTTTCACAGTTTTATTCAGCATGGTTTACAGTCGTACAGTTTTGGTCAGCAAGGTGCACATTCGTACAGTTTTGGTCAGTATAATTTACAGTCTGACACTTTTTGTTAGCTAGTTTGCAATTTCTCAGTTTTAATCAGCATAATTTACAGTCGTACAGTTTTGGTCAGCATAGTTTACAGGCGGACAGTTTTTGTCAGCATAGTTCACAGTCTGGCAGTTTTTGTCAGCATAGTTCACAGTCTGACAGTAAATTCTTATTTTATGCGGCAAGAGCTTTTAGCAACTGTACCTGTTAAGAGCAGCTACATCATCATTTTATTTTTCGACATGAATGATAAAACGTGGCAACCATTCAGAGAACCGAATAATGAGCGAATGACTTTTTCCATATCCGAGTGAATATTTAGAGCATGGAACAGTGCTGTCATGCGCCAGCTTGAAGCCATCGGTTGGGAATAGTGATACAGTAAAATGACAGACAATATGTACTTTCTCGGTGAATATTTAGAGCATGGAACAGTTCTTTCTTGCACCAGCTTAAAGCCATCGGTCGGAAGTACGAATGCAGTAAAAATGGCAGACAATATGTACTATCTCCAGCCCATGGTATGTACTTAAACCTTAACTTAACTTAAAAACTCAAGTAAACCTTATGGTATTCTAATGGCTTTTACATGAGCAGGTATTCGGAGCCAATCTAACAGGTATCAATCTTCTACAAACATTTAATAATTGAATGGTCGTTCAATGTACAGGTGTTTGGAACGAATGGAACACATAATAAACCTTTTAAACCAAATTATATTTAACGGTTCTTCAATGTGCAGACATTGGGCGTAGGTAAAACAATTAGTAAACCGTTGCAAAAGTTTTACTAACAGAACAGTCGTTGTATGTGCAGATATTTGGCGTGGTGCTAGCGATGTTGTCCGTACGGAGGCTGGGGCGTCGTGGGGAGATGTTGCTGTCGCAGGGGATGACGGGGCTGTCTTTGGGGGCACTTGCGGTCTACGTGCACCTCTTCCCTACAGCCGGGGCCTTCTACCCTCCACTTGGAGGCTACCGAAACAGTTCTTCCCTCACTCTCGAGGGCAATATTACTGAGTGAGGCAATACATTCACAAGAGAGAGGAATGTTTTCAAGAAAATTTCAGGACTTAAATTCGTTATTAAGTAATAACAAAAATGATATGGGCCGACCTGGTTCTAATACTTCATCTATGTGTAAAATGAAATAAACTTCATTTCAGCTCGACTACGTTCATCTTATGTATTGTTTGACCAATAGATGAAATGTACCAATAAGTGTAGTTTAAATGTTTGATAATCATTGATAATGAATTTTAATAACAAATTTTTTGATGAAATAAAAAATAATGTCGATGCCTAAGGCCTAAATTAAGATTTTGTGACGAACGCCTGAGCAGCGGCTTACTCCGTCGCTCACGGTTAATCGCGGACCGCGTAGTTATGAACGCTCTGATATGAACGTAGCAGGTTATTGATTGATATTAACTACCTAAAAGTGAAATTGCTACTAATTACCTATTTGGAAATCGCTGTTCATTACATAATTTTGAACCTGGCACTACTTATCAATATTCCTTACATTATTACTTATTACATTACTATTACTACTTACTTATTACTACTTACAATATTAAGACTGAAACAGAATGATAGTAATGTATGGTATAGTATGTGCAGATCAGAAGTCCTCACAAGAGCCTCACAGGCACTAGAAGACAGGGAGGCCCCAGCCCACGGCTGGGTGCCTCTCTTGTGCCTCACGTTCGCCCAGATGTCCTGCAGCTTTGGCCTCCAGAACATCCCCAATATTCTCTCATCAGAATATTTCCCCACGGCCATCAGACGGCAGACTAGTTTTATTCAAGTGGGAATCAAACTCAATTTGTTTCCTGGTCAAGCTCCGCTATTTATATTCTTAGATAGTTTAGTAAATTTCAATTTCCATCACTCAGTTTCATGGCAAAGAAACTTTTGCCTAATTTACTAAATCATCATCTTCGAATAAAGAACTATAAAATTTATATCTTATAGCGTATTTGATATTTTCTAAATGACCAAAATTAGTTAATCAATCTATAATAATTGAATATACTTTCAGAGCAAAGGTTATGTTTTGTAAGAGACAATGTTGAAAATTTTCCTTAACTCACTTCACTACTGAAAAAATATAAACTCAGAAACATGAATCCCACCAAAAGGAATTCATGATCAATTCCTTTATTTTATTCCAAATTGGTCTTTCTTATTAACGAGTTATGTTTAGGCGTCCAGCAACTGTTTTATGATGGCGGCAGCGATGCGGGTGATACAGCTGCAGCTCTACTCCCCCATGAGGGCAACCCTCACCCACCTCGGTCTGCTGGTGCTCTGCAGCGCCTCCTGCCTCCTCTCGCTGCCTCTTAGCTTCTTCTGCATCAGGGAGTCGCTAGGCCAGAACATCGGCTGAAGTTCTGCAGCGCCTCCTGCCTCCTCTCGCTGCCTCTTAGCTTCTTCTGCATCAGGGAGACGCTAGGCCAGAACATCGGCTGAAGTGACATCCCAGTAGGCAAATGACGTTGAAAAAACGTTGTTATGCGCATATATGCTGAAACAACGTTTAATCAACGTTATTTCGATGCCGGATGCCTGTTGTGCTGCATTTGGTTTGCATTTTCTTGTAGAAATGCAATACTGAGGCGACAGAGTGAAGAGTTAAGTTGTTCAAGGGACAGTTTCTATGTACACTGAAATGGTTCCATACATTTTCCGATTTTAATTATGAATAGCTCGTCACAACAAGCAAGCTACCCGTTTCACGAAAATTGTTTAATTGTTGGAAAATTGTTTAATTTCTAAAAATTGTTAACGTAAATAAAGTAGATTAATAAATATTCCCGTAGAGCATGCGTAGTATCGCCCTATTTTTGTTCTAAAAATAATGCGATTCAATTAAGGCGAATTTTATTTCTGAAAATCAGGCGATTCGTTAAAAAACTTTTAAATAATATTTGTTACCATACCGGATAAAGAATCTTCAAGAGCAAGGTTTAGATAAAAGGTAGACTCGTATTACAGATCGCATCATAAATACGCCTGGGAAGACATGAATGCTGTGAAATTATTTTGGCTAAGATATTCCTCAAAAATTAATATCTAATTTAATGTATCGTTGGCTGAAGCAACGTTTAATACACGTTATTTGAACCAGAGATGCTGGTGGAAATATCATTAGTTTGCCTTTAATTCGTTTTCAGCAATTGTGTATGGCGCTCTTCTTTTCCTCGTTTGTTATGACGATGATTTCACTGCCACAACAGGCTGGGCTGTAGCGTAAACTACATGTTCAAGCTGTTTTGTTGGTTAATTAATTTTTCTATTTTGTTGAAAAAAATCGATACAATTATTACTTTTCAATATCCTTTCTATATAATTTTTCTAGTACCATACGCAATATACTGACCGAATATTAGGTAAAATCTCGCTTTGTAACTTGAGATATTTAGAAAACTGTAATGTATCCAATATTTCTGAGTGTCACTGTATATGTATTACTTTTATAAAAAACTATTTCCGTAGGCTTCTGGTCCGCTGTAAAGAAGTTGCTGGAAAATAAGGTGCAGATCGTATTCATAAGCAGAGAAATGAATCCAAATAGCATTGCAGTTTTTCCCCTTATGTAGGTCATCCTGACCCAGTTTGGCCAGGCAAATGAGCGTATCAGTGCTACGTGCTCTCTATATTCGTGCTGTAGCGAGTGAAAGACTTCTCGTGCTGTAGCGAGTGAAAAACTTCTCGTGCTGTAGGTGAGTGAAAGACTTCTCGTGATGTAGGTGAGTGAAAGACTTCTCGTGCTGTAGCGAGTGAAAGACTTTTCGTGCTGTAGCGAATGAAAGACTATGGGCTGAAAGTATGGAAGCAAGGAATGGAGGGAAAGGACTCTCTAAGACTGTATCAGATGAAAGCGATGCCAAAATATGAATGTATGTATGATGGTAATTGGTAGTAGAGGTGGGGACCTTCTGTTTTGTGTTAGGGCAGGCGCGCTAGGTGTGAATGGACGTACATACAGGTGGAATGAGAGGAGGGAAGATAAATGTTTTATGTGTGATGGGGATGAGAAGGAAACTGTAGAGCACTTGTTGATGGAATGTGGGGCGTATGAGAGAGAGCGTCAGTCTATGATTGAGGTGATTCTGAATGAGAGAGGTGAGATTAACGAAATGGGGCATGAGAGAACAAGCGAAGAGTGGATGGCAATTGTTGAATCTTGTATTGCTATGCAGGATCTACCCGACCTCAGTTCGCAATTCCGGTGTTCACAACGAGTTAAACTTTTCTCTTTGATCTGACTCTAAAAGATCTTGTTATAATAATTAGTCAGTCGTCGAGGATACAAAACTGATTTACACTAATTATTTTTTTATTTCACTCACATTTTCAAGCTCCCTCCCCAAAGGTTGACCATCGTGTTTATTAATGTCACTTGCAACGTTAAAATTTTGCCATCGTGAAAATCGATTTCGACTGGAAATAAGAGCTTCGGGCGGTAAACTGGCTACGAAACGCGCTACACGCGAAAATTTTAGAACTCACAAATAAATATTGAGCTACCAAAATATCTAACACAATTTCGACCGCACTAACTCCAAAATACAACGAAATCAAATCTCACAGCAATAATTACGGGTCTGTCTGAGGCAGCAACTGCGGCTATGTTTGAGAGTGTGAAGAGATATTTGGAAAACGTGTGGAGGATGAGGGAGAGGAAGAGGATGATAAGAGTGGGGTCGTGAAGAATGGAGGGTTGTGAGAGGGGAGGATGGGAAGACATGTGACCGTGCCGAATTGTTTGAGTACGTTGTTTTATTTTTTTAGGTTGTTGCAAAACGAAACGAAATTGTTAAGCTTTTCTTTCTTAGGACTGCTGTGAATACGGTTTAATTGAACTTTTTTGTTATGATACGAGTGTGAACTTTTAATTTTTTGATGCTAGTAGGAGATTTCAGGCAGAGTGTATTACCGATATAAAGGTCGTGAAAGGAGGTCACCAAGCATTTCAATTTCAGGTAAGAAAGTGCGCCAGTATTTGGACAATGTGATGCATTAAATTTTCTGGGTGTTTTTTTCTTCAGCTGGTAAACTATTCCACGGGACAGTCCGCATTTATTATATAAGGATAATAAAGGATAATAAAACAAATGATACGACAATTCGGTCTCTCCCGTTCTTCTCAGAAAATTAAAACCTAACACTAAAAAGAAGACAATAATTCATATTGTGTAATCCTTGAGTCACCTTCAAAATATCAGCTACAAAATTTAGATTCGTTAACATTTATTCACTATGTGAACATTTTCAATAAAATTAAAATGAGATGGGAAGTCAATCTTTTTTTTGCAGAATATAAAGATGGTTGAAATTTAGTGGATCTATTTAACCGCGTGATGGATCTGAGTTTCAGAAGAATTATGTTTTTATTAGGAAAATTTGACTTTGTGGTAAATTACCCCGATTGTTTTTGTGCTAACAAGTAAATGAAGACAGTGAAAAAGTTAATCATTAATGTCTGAACTATGCAGCGAACTACCAAGCAAAGTTCGTTAAATGAGTCGCCCACTTCTTAATTAAACAGAAAGAAATGAATTTTGTTCAAATACATGAATGATAAAAAGCCCTGTAAAACCAAAAGAAATTTTTGACTGAGAAACTTAAAAAAAAGAGTCAAAAATCTAAAAAAAAGTTGAAACTTTTTAGGTTTCGAAAAAAAGAAGCCTTTTGCACAGAGAAAAATTTATCGAACTATGTTATTTTTTTCAATCAAGGATATTGCCGAAGCCCTCTCGACGTTATTGAATGCACAAAATTGCGGCCAAATACGAATTGCAGTCGACATTTTTGATCTTCTTGTTGGTGGTGTTGAGGTAAACGCACTGCAGAGTATTATAGGATGGATAAGGGTTCGCCAGCCAGTATGTGTCATAGGAAGAAAATACAGAATTGTTCCCTTCCCAATGCCAATTCCATTTCACGCCATCCAGTTTCTTGTACTGCAGACCGATCCAGACCACTGCAGAAGTATAAAGAAATGATTAAGACCACTGCAGAGATGGAAAGAAATGATTAAGACCACTGCAGAGGAAGGAAGAAATGGGCAAGACCACTGCAGGGATAGAAAGAAATTATTAAGACCACTGCAGGGATAGAAAGAAATGATTAAGACCACTGCAGGGATAGAAAGAAATGATTAAGACCACTGCAGGGATAGAAAGAAATGATTAAGACCACTGCAGAGGTAGGAAGAAATGAGCAAGACCACTGCAGAGATAGAAAGAAATGATTAAGGTCACTGCAGAGATAGAAAGAAATGAGCAAGACCACTGCAGAGGCAGGAAGAAATGATTAAGACCACTGCAGAGGTAGAAAGAAACGGGCAAGACCACTGCAGAGATAGAAAGAAATGATTAAGACCACTGCGGAGGTGGGAAGAAATGAGCAAGACCACTGCAGAGGTGAGAAGAAATGAGCAAGACCACTGCAGAGGCGAGAAGGAATGAGCAAGACCACTGCAGTGGTGAAAGGAAATGAGCAAGACCACTGCAGAAGTAGAACAATATGCGTAAAACCGCTGCAGTCCTGATTGGTGTTACTAATGCATCATTATTTATTCAGTCGGTAACTCACAGGCAGTCAACTTGAGATCCTTATAGAGCAGTAAATTTGACCTATAGTCGATTAAGTGCAAGCCGACATCGCTGCACGCGGTCCTCGCCACGTCCACCAAGACGAGAGAGTCGATGAACTTGCAACATTTTCCGGACTCCGGGTTCGGGAGGATGGTCATGCCATCCGCTGCTGTCGCTGAAAAGACGGAAACATGAAGTTCAATTTGAGGCCTGCAAAAATTTTATGCTGTGATAGTAAACTATAGAAATTCATTTCTCGTATGATCTAACCAATATTTCAGAAATGGTATCAGTTTGAGGAATTCTTTTTTTTTTCAAATATTTCAGGCGTGAGAAAAACATTCTCCTATTATCTTCTAATCGCACACACTAAATTTCTGGAAAGAAATTGTAAACACGTCATATTTTTTCTCGCAAATAAAGTATAAGTTGGTTTCTCATTATGAGTAATGTAAGGTAATATGCAATTATTATAGAGAGGTGGGTCAAAAATAATCAAGTTACTACAAATTGCATTGTCAACCATATCACTTGTTTATTATATGTCTAGGCACTATTATCTTAGAAATATATTAGTCTGACTTTTAAACTATCGACTGATAATTTATTGCTGTTCAAAAATTTAGTGGTTATAATATTCAGAAATACCATTTTAAGATATAACCGTACAAATATTTATCCGCATTCAGCCACTGTAAAAAGATGCTACAAGTTATATATACATTATACGAAAAGATACTAGTAAAAAACCAATTGATATTCATTGACAACTCACTATTGATATTAGATATGGTCATGGTTTGCACCGGAGAGTAAGGGACGGTGGTCAAAAGAGTAATTTTGAACGAGCTGAAGTCGTTGGCTTGTGAACAATTGACGAAGAAATCGAGCGGAGACGCGGGGAAGATGTTGGACGTTGTAGAGGAGCCGTACGTCTGCACGTCGAAGCCGCTAACCAAGTTGCAAGGGTCCGTCATGTCAACGCGGATCTCAAGTCCGTTCGTCACGGTCACCGAGAGAACCGTGGCATTGTTCAACTTCAGTGCTGCGTCAAGAACGTGTGATGAAAAGAAATTATTGTTTCAAAGTCAAGAAAATGAAGTGTCACTTGCAATAGTAATACCGGTTAACAGAAAACTCGTTAAAGCAGTAAAAAGATCATGTTTTTTAATATTTTAATTGTAATTTTATCAATTTTAAATATTTTTCAAAATAAATTTTAATTATTTAATTTTTTCATTAAAAATGACTTGAATTTTTTATTTTATATAGGTTTCAGGAAAATTTGCAATTAACGCAAGCTTCTGAAAATGCAGGCTGTGTTGTTATCATCATCAAACGTTAACCATATTTAGGTTTCCAAATACGTATCAGACGATGACATATATCTTCAAAAGTAATTAATTTGAACAGAATTATCTATTGCATTAATCTCACCATTAGGCGAGGTGTAGCTCACGGTCATGGGTTCCCCTCGGATCTCCTCATAAGAGGGCGTCAGGGTGAAGTTCATGAGTGTACAGGGTGGTACATTGTACTCAATGACGTCACCGGGAGAGACAAGTCCTAAATCTGTACTTTCATACGTGAGTCTACTTGATGTATGCTGAACAGGGACCTCTGAAGTTGACGGTGAAGGATTTACCTAGGATGGAGTCGGTGACGCTGAACTCCGTAATGGTAGGTGCTGAAATTTTCACAGAAATTTTAAATCCGTCAAAATTTACTTATAAAGATTCGCTGCTTACGTTCCTTTCACAAATTGTAGTTTGGTCAATAAATACATATATATTGGAAGCGTTGTTAGCAATTTATTTTTCTCGAACAAAATCATATTTTATTTGGTCCGTTTAAGAATTTTTGTTCGATATTAAGGCAAACGAAAAATCAATTTTTAAAATTTATACCCTTTTCATTAAGAATATCTGTAATAAATTAACAAGCTTGTAAAATAATAAACTAAATTTGAAGATTTTCCTTAAAAAATTTCATTTACAAAGCATTCCGGAATATTCCCAGAAATATATGACAAGAAAATGGTTGATTTAAATGAATTAAAATAGTTTTTATTGCAGTAAAAAATATCCCTCACAAGGCACGGTGAAGTGCGAGAGCTTGACGCTAGAGAAGTAAACTACGACGCCTTCTCCTGTACAAACTTCCGTAGCCTCTGCCAACGAAAAATACGAGGCCCAACACTCGCTCTGGTCGTCGAAGAAAAACGAATTCCAGCCTGGAAAATTATACTTCGCTTAAATTAAGGATTACTATTAATCGTAGGATTACTATTAATCGTAGGATTACTATTAATCGTAGGATTACTATTCATCCAGTAAAATGAGTGTGACTTTGTCCAAATGACGATGTATTTCATGTTATAAAATATTAGTTCATTTATCAATTATCTCCAAGATTATCAGAGATATTTACAGTATTTATTCTCAAATTTTAAATATTGGGGATGAAAGTGGATTGAAAGGAATTATGTTCACACAGCACCTGAAGAAGCTGCAAGCTTGCTACACTCAGAGAAATCTGTGGTGCCGAATTTGACAGCAACGGAAGCCATGCACTCGAAGTCAGTCTTGCTCACAACTTTTCGCAGGAACTTCACACCACCCGTCCTGTAGGATCTGAACTGAACTCCTACGGCAGTCCTGAGACACGAACCATACGCGGGATGCCGTATCAGAATCTAGAGATGAATAAACACTTGTTATTGTTATTGAATTCTTTATCAAACGCAAGTGACATAACATGCGTTATAAGTCTATGTGTTTTATCAGTAGAATGTTTATATCGATCAAAATATAAGGAAGCAGCAACACAAGTAACAGCTACGCAAGTCTGCCTCTTATAAAGTATACGAGAAATACCTTACTACTCAGCCTCTCCTTTTCAGAAGCTTCTCCTACTACTTCCTATAAGCTATCTAATATCCAATACTTTTAATTACTAATATATGCTTGTTCACTACTATTTATATAATTGATTTACCTGACACTATACCTGGCTCGTGTATGTTTGCTAAAAGAGACTAAGAATTAATACTTAGCAAATATTTATTAATCATGGCCATTACACTACCTTTGATGTAGGTACAGTTGTGCTGCATGCCGTCTGAAAAAAAGTAATTTTCATACATACTTAATACTTTTATAATTTAAAAAATTATATCTATAATTTTTTAAAACAAATTATAACATCAAAGTACAGTGAACGTGTCAAGAAATATTCAGCAATAAAAACTGGGCATGTTCTCGTCTAACATCGCGACTTTTTTTCCACATTGAATTTCTCAAACATAATGTAGAAAATATTGATTTCCGCATATGTGTGGAAAATGTGAGTTTTCGTTTTGCTATCAATTCACATTTCAATTTAAGGGGAGCAGAACGTTTGAATAAAAGTTTGTTAATATTATAAATCACTTTGATTGTCAAATCTCTCAAGTTTTTTATTGCTTACGACAGTAGCATGCATACAATGGATTCAATAAATATCATGAAAAAAGAAAATAAGCGTTTAAAATTAAAGCGAAGGAATCCTTAAAAACTTTTAAAAAAATCAAACATTCAAGTGAAACTTCTGTATCTTCGCTTAACATATTTAAGTTGAACAATTATCTTAATAACGTCACTTAAAATATTTAAGTTGAAGAATTTTTCACAATTAATTTAATAACTTCACCTAAAATATTTATTTTCAAGAATTAAGCGTAATCAATTCTGAAGCTCAAGACTATAACATAGTTGAGAATTCAGTCGTCTTGCCAGTGAACGAGTTCAAGTTTAAGCTTTTAACTTGGTAACTATAACAATTTCTAGCAATGTAAGCACGGAGAGAATGGCAAGATTTAAATGGAATTTAAACTTAGAAGGCAAATATGAAAAGTTTATAAGGCAAAAGTTGAAGTTTTTCGAAGAAAATTGTAGATAATTTTTATCTATAAAAACGACTGCATCACTTACCTCGAGAATGAGGAAGAACCACAATAGTAGCATCTTGCCTCAAAATTAAGAACAAAATGTCTAATAAAACTCTTGGCCTTGCCTAAATCTGTTCTTTTCTGAAAAAAAAATATTTCATTTAGCTATTTCTGGCGACATTAAAACACAGTTGATAACGGACTTGTTAATTAATGAAAATTTATTTCGGAAAATCAAAATCTAAATTTAAATAAATTGAAATAAATCACACGAAATTGATATTGCCAAACTACCTTAGATCCTTCGGTTTTGAAATTGTTATCATTAATTTATCATAAAAATTATCAAGTTATTATCGTAAATTTTATTATCCCTTTTTTTGTTACATCAGTAAACGAATATTATAGTATTTTAGCAACTATTACTTTAAACCATTTCCAGATATACTGATAATAATAATACAGTTTAAGGCCTACGGCTGGTGATAATAGGGTTATTATTATATTTAATAATAATAACAATAATACGCCCTAAGTCCTAAGAACCACGAATAAAATTAAAATAACTAAATCAACAAACAATATTTCTACTCGACAACAATAACAATAACTATCACCTAATCTTTTATAAATATTAAACCTAACTATAATTTAACATGACTATTATTCATTTTCATGTATGTCAAGACCGAGAGTGTGTTCAAAATTTTACTTGAGCTGATCGAGCCTTTTATGGCAATCAGTATTAGTTGAAAGTGGATTAGAATTAAGTTGAAAATAATTATTTTGCAATGCTTATGGTACTCTGATTATGTTACGAATGCCACGATCGTTAACGAATCGTTATGAAATCGTATTTTTTATGAAATCGTCGTTTTCGAAAATGTTTTATTTAATTAGAAATTACATTATGCGCAAAATGTTTTTTTAACTTTACCCTTAGCAGAAATTAAACAGAAAAACAAATTTTAAATTGAAAAAACAAATCAAACTCGCATTTTTTGAGCAATGTTCGGAAAAAATCGTCATTATTATTAAGAATTAGATGATTTTGCGATAATGATATCTCTTTATGATAAAGATATAATATAGATAATAATATTTTAATAGATATTATAATATCTTTTGAATATATTGTTATGTAATAATATTTCTGTATAATTTTTATATTATCTCTCTTATTACAAAAAAGAAGGTTCCATGCACAGTGGAAATGTAAAGAAAATAAGTACTCCAAGGTCAACCTTGAAAGTGTTTCTACAAGCTTTTACACGAGTCGAAATTATAACGCAATTCATTCAATCATATTTTTTGTAATTATGACATTTTATGCTATGATGATTTCAATAATGATTTTCCCACGATATTGTCAAAAGATGATGAGTTTTTTGATATCCTAACTTGCTGAAAAATAACTCAACTGATTACAAATCACAGAACAAGACAGAAATTATGAGCCTTCCGTTTGAAATTTAACTTAAATATATAAAATTTAACTTAAATAAAAGTAAATCGGATTTCTCGCTTTATTCTCATGAGCAAATTTTTTCTTAATTTCAATCTTATATCAAATCAATGTTAAAATTTTGAACTAAAAACGACGGAGGACAAGAAGAATGTGAATACACGGGCAAAAATATTACGAACGAGCTAAATTTCATGCGGAGCGCCCCGGTCAAGCATTATATGGCGGTGTCTGGAAACTTTATTTTGGCGTGCACGCTTGAAGCATCAAACACATGTATGCTTGCACAAGTGTTTATAACTGACGCGTTTAGTATTTGAAATTTTAGTTAGTTGAGTATGATCTAGATCAAACCAGTTAATATAACCAGTAAATGCAATAATCTAGATCAAAACAGTTAATATAACCGGTAAATGCAATAATCTAGATCAAAACAGTTAATATAACCGGTAAATGCAATAATCTAGATGAAAGCAGTTAATATAACCGGTAAATGCAATAATTTAGATCAAACCAGTTAATCCATGATGAAGGTAGGGTTTCTGATGAACCTTACGTTATTATGTGAGCAAATAATGCACACAGAAATTTTTTATACGTTTTTTTTTTTTTGCAAAGTAATGTTCTTGTGACAATGATAATTGTTCCAATTTTAGTAATTTGGCTTTCTAATTAAGATCAACCAGCAATAGAAGCCTGATAATTATTGTGCGTATTTATTAATTAAAGGCTATTCGTATTTATTACTAAAGCATTTCTTTACCCTCTTAATTTTACCGAATGTCTGTACTTTTGCTCGAACTTTTTATGAAATATGTTAGGTATTTATTTTAAAATATTTAATTTTATTATTTTTTAGTATTTTTTAATATTTTAAAGTCTTTTTAAATTTCTGTGTTTTTTTCAGTGAAAAGTCTTGTAGCTTCCTAGGAAGCCGTAATTATTTTGGTACTTTTTTAATATTTGAATGTGACTAAACAACTGAAGGCAGGGCACAATTCCGATTCCCTCGATTGCATAGTTGCAATCTATATTCAACCGGTAATTTATTATCATTATCTGATCACTCCGCCACCCGAACAAAAAGATTTAGCAATTTGTGATCATTTGTGGCAATCGCCAAATATGGACTCGAGTTTTTCTAATGAACCCTACGTTATTTTCAACAAGAAATTTTTTCCGATGAACACTACGTTATTTTCAAAAAGAAAGTTATTCCGATGAACCCTACGTTATTTTCAACAAAAAATTTCTTCTGATGAACACTTCGTAGTTTTCAACATGAAAGTTTATCCGCTGAACCCTACGTTATTTACAAGAAGAAAGTTTTTCCTGATAAATTCTAAGTTATTTCTAACTAGGAAGGTTTTCTGATGAACCATACGTTATTTACAAAAAGAAGGTTTTTCTGATTAAACCTACGTTGGTTTCAGCAAGAAAGTTTTTCTGATGAACCCTACGTTATTTTCGTAAGGAAGGTTTTTCTGATGAACCCTACGTAATTTTCAACAACAAATTTTTTTGATGAACACTACGTTATTTTCAAAAAGAAAGTTTATCCGATGAACCCTACGTTATTTACAAGAAGAAAGTTTTTCTGATAAATCCTAAGTTATTTTCAACTAGGAAGGTTTTCTCATGAACCATACGTTATTTACAAAAAGAAGGTTTTTCTGATGAACCCAACGCTGGTTTTAACTAGAAAGTTTTCCTAATGAACCCTACGTTGCTAGGGACGCACTCAACAAAATGAATAAAGCCATCTTCATCCCTGCATTGTTCGGCCTTGTGATCGAATAGCTTCTTCCGTAGCCAGTGATAAAACAGTTTCTTTGGTGACTTTATTACAACTAAAATCATGGATAAGCACTGAATTCGTATGACGCTATAACTAAACCTGGACAAACACGAGACCGAGACTTCTTGGAAAACGGAAACTGAGACTGAGACTCCTTACGCATCCACGGCATTCACTATACTAACCCTGCTTACAAACTTCAGTCGAGGTCACGTCAAACTTACTCTAACAAAGAAATGAAAAAAACGTACAATCAGCTCAGTCCCTAACAACGTTATTTAAAAGAAGAAAGTTTTTCTGATGAACCATACGTTTCTTTCAAAAAGAAAGTATTTCCGATGAACCCTACGTTATTTTCAAAAGGAGGGGTTTTCTGATGAACCCTACGGTATTTTCAACATAAAATTTTTTCTGATGAACACTACGTTGGTTTCAACAAGAAAGCTTTTCTGACGTTATTTTGACGTAGACCCTACGTTATTTCAGCCAGAGTTCGGGTGTCGTAGGAGGACGCCACGCTTGCAACATGTGATGGAGCCCTCATTCTGAAAACAAAAGAGTGTCTTCGATTTTAGAGTGACTCATTCAGTGAAGCCAGTCTGCTCTAGGAAGGAGAGACTCACAGTTATCTATAAAAAAATGTTTACTTCATAATAATTATTGATGCTGTCCATAGCTTTTCCCTCATCAATATGTGAGATCATTTGCTCGACAGTTTCGCTTGTGTGTTAACGGCATCAAAAATGTTACTTCAAATAATCATCATTTTGAATAAATTTTCTTTAACAAAAGGAAACTAAGCTGCGCTATTGTACTAAAGACAAGATTACCAAAAATTCTCAATTATAAAGCTTAAATTAATTTTAGCCTGAATTTGTTTAAATTACCTAGAATTACTTAGAACGCTAGCCCGCCTATAAAGTACACGTTACAAAAGATTACTAGCTAATGTGGTCGTTATGAGAATAAATGCGCAAGTAATAATATCTCGGAAGTAGGCGATCTAACAAAAATAATTTTTTTAATTGCCTGCTAACATGCACGTCCCCCTTCTAGGTTCAGCTGAAGGCCAAGAGAACACTTTTTTTGAATCCTGCTCGGATGCTAAAAATCTTTCAAAAATGAAGTTTAAGTAACGATACTGTATTATATGATGAGACAATGGTGCAAACAAACTGTTCTTTGTTTGGTGTTATGGACAACAACCATAACATTGGTGTTATGGATGAGGAGCGAGCGCCGTGGTAGAGAGCTGTGGAGGGCCACATCAGCACAGGTGTCAGCTCACCGCCGCAAGTGCTCCGTTGACGTCATCGGTGGCCTTGCATTCCACAAAATTCGAGTATGTACATTAAAATTTTAGACGTCTCATAGTTGTAATGTTACTTAAAATTAGTTTTCAAGCAACTTATCTATTTTCGCAGGCCAAAAAATTCATTCGCACATCCTAAATTCATTAGCCCATCCTAAAACTTTTTTATGCTTCAATTCTCGTTTTTGCGTATTATTTAATTTCTGATTTTATGATCAAAACATAGTAACTCTTATTTGTATTTGTTGTAAAAAATCTTTTTAAAATTATCAATTCAAGGAAACACTTGTTTTTTTAATATGGATAAAAATTGTGTTTTTTATAAATATAAACTAGCATTAATTTGAAGGATCCCTGTTTTCATTGTACATAACCGAATTGTTAATTTTTAAGGAATTTATCGGTGATACATTTAGTGATGACAAAATGTTCCCGTGCTATCATCGTTTCAGTGAAACGCTAAATTACACTAGCTATATAAACTAAACTAAACATAAACTAAACTAGACAACATCGGTCAACCTAGTGGTATAACTTAAACTAAAGAGGCAATAGGCCTCGAATTACACGTGTAACAGGTGAGCTGGAGTGTACGTGTAACAGGTGCGCTGGAGTGTACGTGTAACAGGTGCGCTGGTGTGTACGTGTAACAGGTGCGCTGGAGTGTACGTGTAACAGGTGCGCTGGNGCATTCGTATTTCCAACCGATGGCTTCAAGCTGGCGCATGACAGCACTGTTCCTGTCTCTTATACACATCTAGATGTGTATAAGAGACAGAGTTCACTCCATCTGTTCCAGTTCACTTCATCTGTTCCAGTTCACTTCATCTGTTCCAGTTCACTTCATCTGTTCCAGTTCACTTCATCTGTTCCAATTCACTTCATCTGTTCCAGTTCACTTCATCTGATCCTGTTCGCTCCGTCGCTTCATGTTAATTAACCAACATTATATACAAGAATAATTTTTCTATTTCATTTTCCCACCTTGTTAACACTAAGCTTTGAATTTTATTTTTGTAAATATTTTTTGGATGAATTGTTTTGTGAATTTATTAGGGTGAATTGCAAATAAATATTAAGTTACCATGAATAATCAGTGTCAAATAGATAAGTAAAATGAGAATAAAATTATAATAAAGAATAAAATATAATTTATTAATATTTATTTATATAATTATAAATAAAGAATAAAACAGCATAAATGGCTAGGGCCTAAAAATCCATTCAATATTAAATAAATTAAGGAATGTATTTCGCGATCATGGAAGGAGCTCGGTTGACTTGAGTGATTTGCTGTCATAAATAATTAAACTATTTTCCATTAGTTTTATATTGTTAAATGTAAAATTAATTAGTAAAATGTCCATTGTTGTAATTAGGAAGCTAGTTAATTCATCGTACATATATTTTCGAAAACTTTTACAGTCACGGGGTGTTGAAATTACGTTCAATTGGGGTAGACAAACTCGAATAACCTGTAATCAGGAATTGTACATAATTTTTGTCGCCACATTAACATTCAAGTTAGATGGGAATTTTTCAGCTACATACGTATAAGCACCCTGACGTCAGATAGCGCGCACAGCTTGACAACTATCTTACCAGCGTTTGGGAACAAAGCGTTCTGTTAATATAACAATAGAAACTGTACTAATCGCTCTAGATATCCAAAATAATCATGGATCCTGTATAAGACGAAATTTCGATGTCTCGAGTACTCTTTGCGGCGATCAGCATTCGTCATTTCAGTCCAAGTAGCAGAAATTAATTATTAATGATACTCATGTCTCATTATCAACTTCATCTTTTCTCTCTTAAATACGCAGTAAGTTTAACCCAATCAATCCTGGTCTAGTTCATCATATTTTGTGCATCATTATTTCTCACTGTTTCCATCAGCGATCGTGCATCATCATTTCTCGTTTTCCCTTTAGCGATTGTGCATAATCATTTCTGGCTGTTCCCATCAGCGATCGTGCATCATCATTTCTCACTTTTCCCTTTAGTGATTGTGCATCATCATTTCTCGCTGTTCCCATCAGCGATCGTGCATCATGATTTCTCGCTTTCCCTTTAGCGATTGCGCATCATCATTTCTCGCTTTCCCTTTAGCGATCGTGCATCATGATTTCTCGCTTTCCCTTTAGCGATTGCGCATCATCATTTCTCGCTTTCCCTTTAGCGATTGCGCATCATCATTTCTCGCTTTTCCCTTTAGCGTTTGCTATTCACACGATCGTTACTTCTTCGACGTGTTACTCACACGAGGACATAAGCGATGAGTGACACGTCGCTTAGGCTCTCGGACAAATATTTGTACAGTTCTATCTTAAAATGTTATTTTTGAATATTATTACTGCTAAATTTTCGAACAGAATGTAATGAGCAATTTCAACCATCTTGAATGTAATGATCTTTCGTGCCGAGGTTCAATAAAGATTTCTCACTTAACACAATTACTTTAATTCAAACGAAAAGTAAACACTTAAATTACGAACATTGAAGTCAATTAACGTGAATATAGATTTAAAGAATACTTTCAGAGCACAGAACTGTTTCTTCTTTCATATGCTATGGCAGCACATATAGTTCCACACAACACAGTAGTACCTAGAGTCCGACATGCACGAACACTGAATATTCAAGATATCCCAGCTTATTTTGATCTTCTATCCGGGTTGACTTTTCCCTACATGAACAAAATAAAATTTACAATCAGTCGGATAATTTCCCTACTAGATTTCTTACATAGTATCAACAAATTGATAATAAATACAATATTGATACATATCGACAGTAGAATATCTTCACAACTCTAGAATATTACACATACCTCTGCAGTTGTTTGAATTCACAAAATAGTTCTTGCTTTTGTCCCTCAACAAATCTGCTCTGAATTCGTACGCTGCTACAGGATGGTCAACACCTTAAATTATCCTACGTTCCACACATAAGTTACTATTGTTCTTATTCTCCCTATGTTTCCCGAAGTACTCCTGAATATTAAGCTAACATTGATCACTGTTCCCTACAAATTCTGGTAAAAGATTGACTTCCCACCTCATTTTACTTTTATTAGAAATGCTCACATAGTAAATAAATGTTAACGAATCTAGATTTTGTAGCAGATATTATATCGGTGACTCAAGGATTGCAAAACTTGAATTATTTTCTTCTTTTTCGAGTGAGGTTTTAATTTTCTGAGAAGAATTGGAGAGACCGAATTGTCGTATCCTTTGTTTTATTATCCTTTATTATCTTTACATAATAAATGCGGACTGTCCCATGAAGTAGTTTACCAGCTGAAGAAAAAAACACCCAGAAAAATTATTGACTCATATCGTCTATATACTGACACACTTTCTTACCCACATTGCGAACAGAGAGCGCATGTAGCACTGATGCCTGATACTTTTATGCCTGGTCAAACTGAGTCAAGACGACCCACACAAGAGATAAAACTTCATTGCTATTTGGAGTCACTTTTATGCTCGTGAATGCAAGCCGCCCTTTTTTTATTCTAGCGACTTCCATACAGTGAACTAGAAGCCTACGGAAATAGTTTTTTTATAAAACTAATACATATACAGTGTCACGCAGAAGTATTGGATGCATTACAGTTTTCTTCATATCTCAAGTTAAAGTGCGATATTTTTCTAATATTCGTTCAGTATATTGCTAATTGTACTAGAAACGTTATATAGAAAGGAGATTTAAAAGTAAGCATTTTATAGATTTATTCAACAAAATAGGAAAATTAACTCGCTAAACTGCTTCAATATATTATATATACGCGACCGCCCAGCCTGTCGAGGCAGTAAAATCATCGTCATAACAAACAAAGACATGAATGCTGTGAAATTATTTTGGCTAAGATATTTCGCAAAAATTAATATCTAATTTAATGTATCGTTGGCTGAAGCAACATTCAATACATGTTATTTGAACCAGAGATGCTGGTGGAAATATCATTAGCTTGCCTAAAGGCATGTATTGTACAACATGTATTGAATGTTATTTCAGCCAACGATACATTAAATTAGATATTAATTTTTGAGGAATATCTTAGCCAAAATAATTTCACAGCATTCATGTCTTCCCAGTCGTATTTATGATGCGATCTGTAATACGAGTCTACCTTTTATCTAAACCTTGCCCTTGAAGATTACTTATCCGGCATGGTAACAAATATTGTTTAAAAGTTTTCAACGAATCGCCTGATTTTTAGAAAAAAATAATTCGCCTTAATTGAATCGCATTATTTTTAGAACAAAAATAGGGCGATACTACGCATGCTTTCCGGGAATATTTATTAATATACTTTATTTACTTATATCATTTTTAGAAATTAAACAATTTTCCAAACAGAAAAAAGTTAGCGCATATTTATAATTTATTATTTAAAAGTTTATCGATATTCGTGAAACGGATAGCTCGCTTATTGTGACGAGTTATTCATAATAAAAATCGGATAAATGTAAGGAACCATGACAGTGTACATAGAAACTGTCCCTTGAACAACTTAACTCTTCCCTCTGTCGCCTCAGTATTGCATTTCTACAAGAAAATGGGAACCAAATGCAGCACAACAGGCATATGGCATCGAAATAACGTTGATTAAACGTTGTTTCAGCAAACATGCGCATAACAACGTTTTTCAACGTCATTTGCCTACTGGGATGTCACTTCAGCCGATGTTCTGGCCTAGCGTCTCCCTGATGCAGAAGAAGCTAAGAGGCAGCGAGAGGAGGCAGGAGGGACTGCAGAGCACCAGCAGACCTCAAGAGGCAGCGAGAGGAGGCAGGAGGCGCTGCAGAGCACCAGCAGACCGAGGTGGGTGATGGTTGCCCTCATGGGGGAGTAGAGCTGCAGCTGTATCACCCGCATCGCTGCCGCCATCATAAAACAGATGCTGGACGCCTGTCACTCATTAATAAGAAAGGCTAGTTAGATATCAAGCATTGGAATTGATCATAGATTATTTTTTGGTTGGATTTTTGAGCATCAATTTTTTCAGGAGTGAAGGGAGTTAGAGAAAATTTTTAACATTGGCTTATACAAAACATTACCTTTGCTCTGAAAGTATATTCAATGATTATAGATTATTAACTAATTTGTTTTATTTCGAACGTCTTAAATACGCTATAAGATATCGATTTAATAGTTCTTAATTCGGATGCGCTGATATAGTGAATTGGGCAAAAGTTTCTTTACCATGAAAGTGAGTGATGGAAACTGATATTTACTTAACTATCTAAGAATATAAATAACGGAGCTTGACCAGGAAACTCCCATTAGAATAAAACTAACCTGCGGTCTGATGGCCGTGGGGAAATATTCTGATGAGAGAATATTAGGGATGTTCTGGAGGCCAAAGCTGCACGACATCTGGGCGAACGTGAGGCACAAGAGAGGCACCCACCCGTGGGCTGGGGCCTCCCTGTCTTCTAGTGCCTGTGAGGCTTTTGTGAGGACTTCTGATCTGCACATACCACAACATACATTACTTTCATTCTGTTTCTGTTTTAATATTGTAAGTAGTAATAGTAATGTAATAAGTAATAAAGTAAGGAATATTGATAAGTAGTGCCAGGTTAAAAATTATGTAATGAACAGCGATTTCAAAAATCGGAAATTAGTAGCAAATTTACTTTTATGTAGTTGATAAAAATCAATAACCTGGCGCTTTAATATTAGAGAAAAACTACGCGGTCCGCGGTTAACCATGAGCGAAGGGTTCCACAGTTGCTCCGGCGCTCGTCACAAAATCTTAATTTAAGCCTAATGCATCAACAATTATCTTAATTCCGTCAATAAATTTGTCAAAATTTACTATCAATGATTGTCAAATATTTAAACTAAACTTACTTTTACATTTCATTTATTATTTGATTAATACATCAGATGAAAGCAGTCAAGCTGAAATTAAGTTTTTTCATTTTACACATAGATGAGGTATTAGAACCAGGTCGGCCCATATCATTTTTGTTATTACTTAATAACGAATTTAAGTCCTGAAATTTTCTTGAAAACATTCATCTCTCTTGTGAATGTATTGCCTCACTCAGTAATATTGCCCTCGAGAGTGAGGGAAGAACTGTTTCGGTAGCCTCCAAGTGGAGGGTAGAAGGCCCCGGCTGTAGGGAAGAGGTGCACGTAGACCGCAAGTGCCCCCAAAGACAGCCCCGTCATCCCCTGCGACAGCAACATCTCCCCACGACGCCCCAGCCTCCGTACGGACAACATCGCTAGCACCACGCCAAATATCTGCACATACAACGACTGTTCTGTTAGTAAAAGTTTTGCAAACGGTTTACTAATTGTTTTATCTACGCCCAATCTGCTCATTGAAGAACCGTTCATATATAATTTGGTTTTTAAAGGTTTACTATGTGTTCTATTCGTTTCAAACACCTGCACATTGAACAACCATTCCGTTATTAAAAGTTTTCAGAAAGTTTGCTATTTGTACTATCCGCTCCGAGCACCCTCACATGAAACAGCCGTTAGAATAATAAAGGTTTGCAAGAAGTTTGCCAGTTGTTCTATCCACAACAAACAACTTTTACGGTTTAAATCTACGTCAAGATGTTGCTTATGTCTATTGACAGCCATACTCAGACTATTGGCAAGTTCGAACCGTAAAAACAGGGGAGGTGATTAACTTGTCTGCCAAAAGATTTTGCTTGACGAGTGCAAACAGCTAGGTGAATAACACCTGAAAATTTTGTAAGAGTCTCCTGTTATGGTTAGGCTGAAACCGTACTTTCACATATAGTTGAAAGTGTGTAACTCCGTCAGCTAAACATTCTCTATCAAGCTAAACCCACAAATTACATACTAGAAATTGGCCGCTATGTGCAGTAGTTAGGCCGTTATGTGTATCTACATGAGTTTTGTTGGTACACAACCTGGGCTGGAGAAAGTAAATATTATCTGTCATTTGACTGCATTCGTATTTCCAACCGATGGCTTCAAGCTGGCGCATGACAGCACTGTTCCATGCTCTAAATATTCACTCGGATATGAAAAAAAATCATTCGCTCATTATTCGGTTCTCTGAGTGGTTGCCACATTTAGCATTAATGTTGAACAATATGAACTCTGCTTCGTAACTTTAGGAAAACTATTTCCAGTCCATATGATGTGGTGATGTTGGTTGTAAACTATGCTGACCAAAACTGTAAGACTGCAAACTATGCTGACCAAATCTGTCAGACTGTAAACTATGCAGGGCAAAACTGTCAGACTGTAAACTATGCGGACCAAAACTGTCAGACTGCAAACTATGTTGACCAAAACTGTCAGACTACAAACTATACTGACCAAAACTGTCTGACTGCGAACTATGCTGACAGAAACTGTCAGACTGCAAACTATGCTGACCAAAACTGTCAGACTGCAAACTATGCTGACCAAAACTGTCAGACTGCAAATTATGCTGACAGAAACTGTCAGACTGTAAACTATGCTGGCCAAAACTGTCAGACTGTAAGCTCAGAATTTACAGAATAACTGAAGACTCAAGTAATGAATGCTTCACGTTCACAATTCACAAGCACAATTCATAGTTATGACTCAAGAAACGAAATGCACAGTAACTGTACACAGTAACACATGAGCAGAGTGAATGTCACCGGGCCAATCTAGGTCAGGATGGCACACACAGGATAAAAAGGAAAACGCTACATTGACAAAGTATAGTTTATTTGGCTGAGAGTACCTGCGCGGACTGCACGATGATGGTGCCGGTGGTGAGATCGATTGTGCTGCCTGAGTCCTGTAGAAATCGAGCTGTTTGCACAGTAAACAAGGCATACCCTGAAAAAAATTACATATTACTACTTCTTTGTTCTTAAATTTGCATATAAATTCATCGATTTGTATCGATCGGCGAGCTATATATTGATTACATGAGTACGAAGCAATCTTGTAGATATTATAGTTAGCTGTAGTTGAAAATATTAAAGACACCATGAATAATTTTTTTTAATATCTGCTCATAGATGTTGATAAAATTCTAGATTTTTATAATTGGCCATTTTTCTTTGGGTCTTCATTAATGGCGCAATGTCAGTCCTGTAGTTGAACAAAATTAACTAGATACAACGTGGTCTAGTAGTCTCAAGTACCTGAAGACACTTGAATTAGGAAGAGCGCAAAAACAATAGCGAGATTTTTGATGACGTCACTGCGGAACAGCGCTTCTGACAGCTTGACGTTCTGGAAAGTTTCGTTGAGACGTTCGTAGCTGTCGATCTCAGCGTCGACGTCGGAGCCTCGCACTCTCAGGCGCAGCAATATCTCGCGTGCTAGTGTTTTGTTACCTTTAAGAAAATACTCTTGATAAGTTTTTTGGAGAGAAGAATCGCATCTTTTCTGGCACATTCTGAGGCTATTCTCAAGTAAATGTGTCAAAAAAATAATCTTTGCGAAAAGAGTGAAATGAAAATGGTGAAAATTTCCTGTTGCTGTTTAACTCTTCAATACTTTTTTTAAAAGAGGAATCAGAAATTTTTCTTGTTAAATTCTGAGGGTTTATGAGCGGCCTTAAAGCACCACTCATCTTAAGAAGTTTTGGAGAAAGAATAACAATTTTCTGGAAGACGTTGATATGCAGAAGGTGAAAAGGATGACGAAGAAAATTACCTTGGATGACGAGGGCCGACGGGCTGGGTGGCATGCAGAAGGTGGCGAAGACGATGAAGATGGCAGGATAGACGCAGTTTACGAGCGCCACGCCATAGTACCGCAGCCAGTACGCCGGCATCACGCTCAGTGACTGTCCTGCGACACACCGACCGAAGGATGTTGTGACTTATACGTAGGAACTTATGAACTGAGGTGAAAATATTAAGTTGTATCAATACATGAAGTTGAATGAATGTATGAATTCAAATAAATATATGAACTCGTAAGAATGTATGATTTCATATGAATGAAATCAGAAGAAGGATAGGAAGTTGAATGTTAGAGCCATTGTTCGAACACTCAAATGTATGCATCTTTCAAGCACGTACCTACGTAATATTTTCCTACTTTTTAAACCAATAATTTAATTTGTTTGAAATATTGGCAGAAAACATGGGACATAAAAAAGGTAATTAGAAGTTAAAAACGGTAATTAGAAGTAAAAAACGATAATTAGAAGGCAAAATAAGGTAATTCGAAGGCAAGCCGCTAGTCCTGGAATATTCAGACCAGTCACCCAGGAAGAGGGATATCGAGGCGACGAGAGTGAGGGGACCCCGCGTGACGTCATCAGCGATTTCCACGACATACGCCAGACTCGTCGCGCACACCCCTCCGTTAACGGCGCCGTTCAGAACCCTGGCCAAATGGGACTTTAATTAATTAATTATTATAATGTAATTAAACAATTTAATATTCATTATTTCATTATTAAATTATTTACTTGCTCGTTAATAATATGGTAATTGCATAATTTATTATGCAATTATTTTATACTGCGATAACTTTTTGATCCATAATTATATTAAAAAAAATTTAATATCAATTATTTCATCATTAGGCAATTTATTTGATCAGTAATTCTGTTATAATCATATAATTTACTAGACCGTAAAAATTGCGCCCACTAAATCAGCGTTAATTAATCTCTAGCATTAAACTTTAGAATTAAATCTTCAGACATGAATTTTTTACCTAAATTTTGAATTTCTCTCTCTCGAATCGCGGCAAAATGTGACTTCAATTTAAACGCCTCGAACCTAAAGGACAAATCGTATGCACAGAAATCTGTAATTCAGCTTAACCGATCTTAGGAACGATAACCTCAGAGAAATAAATTGTTATTATATGTTCAATTGTCTCTTGAATTGTACCGGCAATTCAATTTCACGATTTTTTTGTTCTAATCAAGGATATCATCTATAAGCTTTGAACTTACGATCGCCATTCATTCATTCACTAAAAAAACTTTTATGACCTCTAGCAAAGTTTTAAGTCAAGGAAACTTGCACTTGATATTTACACAAACACTTATTTCATTATATAAAATCATTTCTATTGAGATATAACCGTGAGAGTTTTCAATTAAATAATTGGCATTTCAATATGCAATAGACAGAAAGCAATATGACAACGAACTTCAGACTTCTGTATGATAACTCTCTTCGCACAAACAACACTCTTTACACTTCTGTATGACAACAGACTTCACACTGCTGTATAACAACACTCTTCACACTCCCATCACAAGACACTTCAACTCTTATATGACATAACCTCAAGGCAGTGGCCATGCGACAATTTTATCAACTCATGTGCTTTTCTATTAAAAACGCCACATGGCAATGTTTATAAGGAAATTTAGTAACACATAGACATTTCTAATGAAAAACATATGACTTGGCTTTAAGACAATTGTATTAACACACTTCATTTATTAATATAAAAAACATTACATTACAATGTCTATAATTAAGACAATTTTAGCATCACACCAATACACACATTTCTGTCTCAGCACCACATAATTTTAGATACACATTATTTATGTGAATGGCGCATATTTATAATAATATAACTCAGTACTCACTGCAATGAGTGACAGAGAGCGCATTTTCTCGTTGACGAAAATGTTAAGTCACGGACAGACAGACGGACAGACGGCCATGACGAGCACAATAGCGCCTTTTTTCCATAAATAAGAAGATGCGCTAATTAAATCGACCACATGAAGGTATGGTCAATACAAGTTATTAACTCGCACACTATTGAATAAAAACACCACATGAGAAGGCTATAAAACAATCCTTGCAATATTCATATTAAAACACCACATGACGATTGCTATAAATATCACTGGACCCCACACCTCATGACGAGCACCACCCAAGTGGTGGGGGCGGCAGCGACCCCCAGCCATGACACGACCCCCAGCAGCATGACCAACCGCAGCGTGGTGAGCTTGCCTAGCCGGCGGTTGAGAGCAGCGCTTACGGCGATACCCACAAATGCACCTGCGCTGGTCAGACTGCCTGCGTGGGAAGCAGGGAAATTTTTATATCAAACAAGGAACACATTTACACAGAAACTAATTAACCCTCTACCGCCTGACATGAGTAACCGGAGCAATAATGTCACACAAGCCAGCCCAAAAAAGATACATTCTAGTGAGCGCAAAATGACTTGCAACGATGGTTGCCGCAACGTACGAGAACTTTAGTAAAATGTTCTCTGTTGCGTACAAACGTCCTCAGGTTGCTACACTCAATAGTTTACGCATAACTTAAGTTGAAAGTCATGTTCCCGGAGAGTGACATACGGTTGTAGTTGTAAAGGGTTAACTTGAGTTACACGATAGCACAGATACCTACTAAAATTTTAATTTTGAGAAAACGTGCTCATAAATACGATAAATGAGAAATGATAAAAGTTAAAAAGATACAACGATAAAAATTGTACGTGAATTCGAAACATGGTATGATAATTGAATATATATTATAATACTCATTTTATATTTCCCATATATCACTATATTTATACACATCTTATCTTAATCCTACTCACCTATCAGATCCTTCTCGATGTCGGTAAATGCCATGGCTGCGCCGTAAATGTTCGTCCCTTCCTCTTGTACGTCTGGGATGATGACAGATGGAAACGCCACCGCCGATCCTGCTACCATCGTCGTAAACGCCGTCATGATTGTTAGAGCCACCTGCAAACGTCGTCATAAATGTCAAAACAACTTACAAACGTCGTCATGAATGTCCAAACCACCTGCAAACGTTGTCATGAACGTCAAAACCACCTACAAATGTCGTCATAAATGTCAAAACCACTTACAAACGTCATCATGAACGCCAAACTCACATGCAAACGTCGTCATGAACGTCAAAACCACCTACAAACGTCGTCATAAATGTCAAAACCACTTACAAACATTGTCATGAACGTCAAACCCACATCCACATGTAAACGTCGTCATAAATGTCAAAACCACTTACAAACGTCGTCATGAACGTCAAACCCACATCCACATGCAAACGTCGTCATAAATGTCAAAACCACCTACAAACGTCGTCATGAACGTCAAACCCACATGCAAACGTCGTCATATATGTCAAAACCACCTACAAACGTCGTCATGAACGTCAAACCCATATGCAAACGTCGTCATAAATGTCAAAGTCACCTGCAAACGTCGTCATGAACGTCAAAGCCACCTGCAAACGTCATCATGAACGTCAAAGCCACCTGCAAACGCCATAATGATTGTAAAAGCCCTCTGAAAACGTCGTCATGAACGTCAAAACCACCTGCCAAACGTCGTCATGAACGTCAAAACCACCTGCCAAACGTCGTCATGAACGTCAAAACCACCTGCAAACGTCGTCATAATTGATAAAACCACCTTCCAAACGTCCTCATTAACGTTAGAATATTAACGTAACTATATGCGTCATTCTTTATTATTCGCATCCAACCTGGTACGGCCTGCCGCTGAGTCGCTTCGTCGTCACATCAGCGACATTCTCTTCACTTGCTCCTGACGTGTCCTGGGTCTTCTTTGTCCCGAGAGGCCAGTTTGTCGTTAACTTGGAGACCGACATAGCGTATGGGACCGAGGAAGAACTTTCACAAAAACCAACGGATGTTTTCTCGTCATTTTGGAATTTTGTATTGAACACCCCCCAATAGCCTCTGGAAACGAAACATTCACAATTCCTTATCTGATGATTTCCGTTGTCGAAGTTGTCTGTCTTTTCACGAGATCCGAGGTTACCTTGAATTGAGTTTAAATTTATACGAGCCGTGTTGTCCAGGTTGTCTTCAAGGTTACGCTCATCAAAATATTTTTGTTTGTCCAGCAAACGTTTGATTGGATTTATTTTTGCATTCGGTTTTGTTTTTGCAGCGATTGTATTTCCAGCAGAGTCTCTTCTGCAGTACAGGGAGTTCTGGAGCGACAGGGAGACATCACGCGGGTGCATGGAGTTCTGAGGGCGCATGGAGTTCTGAGGGCACATGGAGTTCTGTGGGCGCATGGAGTTCTGAGGGCGCATGGAGTTCTGAGGGCGCATGAGGGTGCATGGAGTTCTGAGAGCGCATGGAGTTCTGAGGGCGCATGGAGTTCTGAGGGCGCATAGCATTCTGAGGGCGCATGGAGTTCTGAGGGCGCATGAAGTTCTGAGGGCGCATGGAGTTCTGAGGGCGCATAGCATTCTGAGGGCGCATAGCATTCTGAGGGCACATGGAGTTCTGAGGGCGCATGGAGTTCTGAGGGCGCATGAAGTTCTGAGGGCGCATGGAGTTGGTTCTTGATGCGAGCGCCTGCCTCTGGTCTCTTCGATAGCGTCCATCGGTCTTTCGGTCATCGGCAGAAATAACGGAAGAACAGTTTTCATTTCGGTAATGTTTGTTGCCACGCTTCGAACCTTTGTTTTTCAATGAATATGAAACGGAAGGATCAATTTTTATTATCGGATTATTAGAAGAGGACGTTTTTTCGCCATTGTATAAACCTGCTGACAGATCTCTGATGCTCCCGTTGCTTGCCGCCATTTGCAATAAGAAGTTGTAATGAAAACAATCTATTAATTCACTCAGTCTTTGTTTTTCTATATCTAAGCTTACTTAAAGAAATAAAATTGATGGGTTTTGACCACTATCTTGCTTTTTTAGTTTATTGGAACCAGGAAGTTATTGCTGTTCTATACTTGAAATGCTCAGTGCACACTTAGATCAGACGTAAGATGAATGTCTCGAGTAAGAAGTTAGCAGCCAAATGGTGGGTATATCGACAAGTGGTTGGTAGGCAGATAGTTAGTGGAAATGACATGCAAGTGTCAGGAGACATTTTGCTTTCAAGACTGATAAGCTCAACTGATAATAATGACCTTGGATTGAATCTAAACGGCCGGGATGTGTGTTTCCTTTGAGTATTTGTTAATAGATTAAAATCTTGGATTAACTTCTGAGGACGACCTTTTTTCTGGAACGAAAATAACTTATAGTTTCTTCACTACACATTAATAGATTAAAATATGTGAATAACTATCCAGGTTGATTTCAAATACTATAGTAATTGGCGTTTTAATAACTTATGTATTATCAATATTAAGTAGGTTTATGATCATGGCTCCTGGGTGCCTAAATAGCGACTTTATACGAGACAATCTATAACTGGTCAGTCTGGACCACGAGAGGACTGGGCCCTAAACTAAAGTTAACTAAACTTCTTGACTAAAGAAAGCCCTTTTTTAATAGCCAAAGAAGTTTGTCGTGGCTTGTTATACATTGCACAAGCTTCATTTGCCTTTTCTGTGCTTCTTTTTAATTTCAAGTATTGCCGATTACTCTAACATATTGGAATGTGCTGCATTGATGTCTTTTATTTTATTGTCAGGTGCAGCTGACAACGCTGAAAATGAATAAATTCTAATGAATAAGTTCGATGCAATCTGCATAGGATAAAGTTGAAAATGAAACAAAATAAATATCTTAGTTTTTGTATTTAAAAATGAGTTCGCCATTCCGAGAAAGCTGTGCCCTCCGTATTTTAGGGATAGCTTGCGTTTGATTACGCGCAATATTTACGTATCGCCTGGTGTGAAGAAATTAAACCATTAATGCATTGTAGTGATTGTACGTGTGGGAATTCCGTTACGGGTTCTGCTGTCGGACGGACGGTGACGCAGTATAGACCCCTACATAGCCCTTGCCCACAATTCAATATCTATTCCTTTCCGCTCGTAATCACGCTAGAGGGCATATTAGCCTGTGTGAATTAAAACAATAACTGAAGTACTTTTGTTTTTATTGACCTTTCAAATAAGTAAGTTTCTGTGGCGCACCCTGTACTTTACCTCGGCAAGAACAATGAGCAGCAAGCTTACAGCATGAGAAGACATGGTTGCAACGAGAGGGTTATGATTGAGAAGTCTTGCGTTGAAAAAGATCTTGGAGTTTGTGTCGACAAGGTGCTAAAATTTTCTAGGTATGTTGAAACGCAATTTAATAAATCCTATAAAGTGCTTGGATTGATTAGACGCTCTTACGAGTACCTATAGATGCAGAAGCGATAAAGCTGTTGTTTGTTGCTGTCGTGCGCCCGAACCTAGTGTTTGGAAATGCTGTGTGGTGACCGAAACTTGAAAAGAACAAAAATTTAGTCGAGAGTGTTCTAAGACGTGCAACAAGGATAATTCCAGGCTTAAAGGGCAAGTTTTATGAAGAATTATTGAAGATTTTGAAGCTTCCCAGTCTCCGTTATCGTCTGCGTGGCGACCCCATTGAAGTATACAAGTATACTCGTGGTTTGTCCAAGGTCCCAGAAATATTACTAGAATTTGAAACAAGAACCAACACCAGGGGCCACAGCTATAAACTAAAAAAACTGCGGTGCAACTCATCCATGCGACAACACTTCTTCTCGCTTCGAGTCGTGGAATACTTTCCTGATGTTACTGCTGACGCTCCGAGTACGAACGCTTTCAAGAACAGACTAGACAAGTCTTTTAGATCTGTGAACTAGTCAAGAAAAGTGCAAGAATCGGCGACAGGCCTATCCAGGCCTATTCTTCAACGCCGAATGTACTATACTATACTATACTATACTATACTATACTATACTATACATAACTCTAACGTTTTCCTAGTTACGTACGTACAATCTAAAAAAAACTTTCAAGTCTTCGCATTTATTTGTCGGTGTCAGGAGTATGCAAACGTTTTTACTGGTCGACCCATCCATAGGATATTTGTGTATACATCGCCTTTGTACATGCACACACAAATAAAGATTGTTGACGTACAAATAGTACATATAAAATAGGTGAGACACACACACGCTGCACTAGAGAAGTAGCATTGAGTAGCTGGCACTAGCGCGTGTAGTCGCGACTGCGAGTAATGTGTTGTAGGCATTTGTTTACTCACTCTCTCCAGAATATTTTACTTCTGCCAAAATATTTCCATTGAAATTTACATATTTCATCTTGAACATGTTAATTCGACCAATTTTTCCATTGTATTCAAAAAGTTCATTTAGGTCCATGGTATTGAAAAATCTAATTGATTTCATTCGAGCATATGTATAACAGAATCGAATTAGCATTTAACGATTTGATCACAGCGGTGCTTGAAGTTTGCGTTTGAGTATCGTACACTTGGTTGGATATGAGGATGCACCATTAAAATCGTGGCCAATATGTTCTTGCCACTTCATTTTGCTACAGAAATAATAGCAAATTTTCGATTTGAGTATTCATTGCATTTAATTTTAACACCGTTTTCGATGTTAAATCGAATGTTAAATAATCGATAAAGCTCATGCCAAGGCGGCCTTGAATTATGTCTGCAGCACTGTTGAAAATTTCCAAAACTAGGGATTATCCCCTGGTTTACGTCAGCAGTGGCGAACAAATTCTTATACAATATCTCACATTATTATTATATTGGGTAAAAATCTTCCTGGTCAGGTAATGGTAAGGTAATTAAACGTCTATATTGGCTCACTACTTCCTTATAAAAATTGATCGACCTCTCAGTGAAGGATCATAACATCATTTCTTCATTTCTCGGAAGTTGAATTTGTTACCATCAACAATTAATGCATCGGAATTTTTATTTTCATCCATTCATTGCTCTGCATTTTTTTTAAATAGAAACTGCGAATCATTTAATCTTTCTGTGCTCTCATGAGTTTTTGTTCACCCTATAAGTTGCCGCTATAGATCAGCGCCTACACTGCGGCGCCGCTCAAGGTCAACGGAAGAAAAGCTGCCGAAGGCGGAAATTACATCCCCAGAGCTTTCTTCCTTTTTCTTTACTGATGCGATTAAATTCGAGGAAGAAACAATCCAAAGATCAAATAGAGCTTTCAACATGTTAAAAGCAAACAGCCTAAAACTCCGAGCTCTAATTAGATTGTTTTCGTTCCTCAGACGAAAATTTTTTATGCTAATTAGCTAATTTTAAATGTTTACAATATTCAATTGGCAACATTGAAGCGAAAATTCCATACTGCAATGCACTGTAAGATGTCGCTAATTTTTTTTTCAAGTCACGACAACGTTACGTGGAGACTCCTAGGTCGGTCATAATTATTATTCAGGCTGCGACCAATAAGGCTGTTACGTTATCACTTTGTGACGGCATGATAGTCTTACGGTTGTGGGATTGAATGAAAGCTAAGTCTTCTGCTAAGGTTTACTTCAACACCGAA